ATCATCATCAGTGTCTCTTCAAAAAAGATGTATTGCTTAATTTGCATTTAGCTTGTTTTTCCTCTTCCCAAAAATCAGCTCCTGTTCAGGAGACATTTTCACCTGTCACCCGAGGGGCAACACTGTGGCCTTTAACCGCTACTCTGTGTCTCTCTCTGTCTCTATGCAGTTTGCAGACCAGTCACTCATGAAGAATGCAATTAAAACATCAGAGGAGTCTTGGATTGAGCAACAGATGCTGGAGGACAAGAAGAGGGCCACGGATTGGGAAGCCACCAATGAGGCTATAGAAGAGCAAGTGGCCAGAGAATCGTACTTACAGTGGCTTCGAGACCAGGAGAAACAGGCGCGACAGGTGTGGGACCTGCCTGTACTAATCCTACTAACTACCTAAAACCATGTCTCATTCAATCAGAACCTTTAGTTGCATTCCTAATAGAATGACTGTCGGTAGGAATCAGGTATTTGACGTGTGATAATTACCAAAACCTGTTTTAACGCTGATTGCACTGGAATTATTTTCAGTCACACGTAAGCTGTGATGACTGCTTCATTGGTTAAGGTACACAAAGCCTTGGACTATCGGTTTCGCAAAGACGTGCAATCTATGTGGTTTGCGTTTTCACACTTAAACCAGCTGTGAACAAGACCCTTCTTCACAGAAACAATGGGCTTTCTTCTAAATCAGACTGACAGCGGCTTATCAGAGAGAAATTGTTGAAGATGTGCTCCTGAAATTGAATATTGTCATATCGTAGCAAACAAAGATAAAAGATTTTACGCAAACCTTACATACAGTAAACCTACTTTCCATAAATGTCCTCGTGTAAGACTGTTTTGAATGGCAAACTCTGAAGCCTTCACAATCACATACCAATTAGCCTGTTGACTTATGATTTGTGAATAAACGTTTACTTTTGTCACTCCCTCAGCCTCGCAAGGCCAGCGCAACGTGCAGCTCCGCCACGGCTGCGGCCTCCAGTGGTTTGGAAGAATGGAATGCCCGATCTCCACGGCAACGCAGCTCCGCCCCCTCTCCGGAGATTCCTGATCCTTCGCATTCGGACACACCCGCTAAGCCCCCCTCCCCGGCCGGAGCGGCCCTCGCACTATCCAAACCCCCGTCACCCTGTGCACCAGGTCTGTTATCAGTGTTTTGCAATAAGGACGGTGTCATTAAAACTAACAGTATGATGCATTTCCTTCAGCAAGCCAATTTTATGGGGTAAATGGCACATGAGGTTCACGGATGATTAAACTGATTATAAGGGTGAATCTCTGGAAACCTGTCAAGAACATGTCTGGGTCGTATTTCACCCCAGAATCTAAAGGAATTCAATAAGAAGTTATATTTTGCTCAAAGAAAACCTGTTTGTAAAATTTTAATTCTCATTACCATAATGTACACTAGCATCCCAAAAGTTTGGGATTGATCATTTTATTTTTATTTTTGAAAGAAGTCTCTTAATGCTCACCAAGACTGCATTTATTTGATCAAAAATGCAGTAATATAGTGTGAAATATTATTACATTTTAAAATAACGTGTAAATGTAATTTATTCCTGTGATGAAAAGCTGAATTTTCAGCATCATTACTCCAGTCTTCAGTGTCACATGATCCTTCAGAAATCATTCTAATATGCTGATTTGCTGCTCAAGAATCTTTGATGCATAGGAAGTTCAAAAGAATAGCATTTATTTCAAATAGAACTCTTTTGTAAGATTATAAATGTCTTTCTTGTCACTTGATCAATTTATTGCATCCTTGTTTAATAAAAGTATTTAAAAAAAAATACTCACTGACCCCAAATTGTTGCATATAAACAAAAAAAATATTAAATATTTATGTAAAAAAAACAGCATTAACGCAATTATTGTGGTACTGTATAACAATAATACAAAAATAAGAATAATGGTGACTAAAGTATCCAGATGCATTACAGTAATTAAAATGTGCGGCTAAATGTGCTTAATTTGAATGAAAACAAGTTCACGATGCAAAAAAAAAAAAATACACTATTTTTTTTATGCAAAATATTTGTTTTTGTAGGGTAAAATGTTACATGTCTTTTTGTGAAATTCACTCAAAACCACTTTGCAGGGGAAGCCACATAGATAGAAACTAAATCTCTATACTTTAGTCTTTCAAAATAAAGATTTCCTGCGTTCCGTCTCGCCGTTCAGGTCCCAGTAACCAGGCTTGCGTTGGACCAGACAGACCCAGCTCGTCTTCTCTGGTGTCTCTGTATCCAGCACTGGGCTATCGGGCCATTATGCAAGAGATGTCCCCTACTGCTTTTGGTGAGGAAGTGGAATCATGCTTGCCAATTCGTCTAGCTGTCCCGCCTGATTCAGTATGAAAGAATCCTGGGCTCAGGAATGCCATGTTAATCACCGCGCTCGCTCGCCTTCCTCATGCGTCTCACACAGCTTGAATCTGTGATGTGATCCATGTGATTCAGCTGCGAAATGCACCCAGGACTCATGCAGAAAGCAGCGTGTACAGTTATTATGTGCCGTTAAATACACTTGATTGTAGTGGAGTATCGGCACACCCCAGCTACTGTTGACAGCGGCATTGTTTCGGCTAAGAACTTAAGAAGGGGCAAATAGGGAGTGAATGTTTTTCACAAATTGAACTCTTGTAATGGATCAGTCTAAAAAGTCTGGCCACACCTACTCATTCTATTTTGCACATTTGACAATAATAGTAAAAGCATTAAAACAATAAAAGGCATTTTTTTTATGAAGTTCCGATGTATGTTGGACACTTGTTGCCTGCTCTTCTTTAACTTTATCTATCAAAAAATGTAATCATTTTATATTTGTAAAGAAATGCACATGTAGAATCAATGTGTATTTATGTTCAAAACTCATTTCAAGCATTGGCTTTTGATAAGAAATTCAGTCATGTGTGTTAAATGTTTGGACTTTTAGTGTGTATAATATGTTTTTATCTATGTGACCAAACCGTGATTTGTTTTGTTGCTCTTGTTTTGCAATAGGACTAACAGACTGGGAAGACGATGAGATATTGGCGTCCGTCTTGGCCGTGTCACAACAGGAATACCTCGATAGCATGAAGAAAAACGCCATGCATAGAGAACCTTCTCCAGATAGCAGTTGATAAAGGAGGGTGAAGGCACAATCTGCAACCGAAGCAGGAGGCAGACACATGGGGATCAAACCAATCACATTCTCTCCATCATCATGCAGTTCACTCTGTCCTTCCTTTCCTTCACCCATCCATCCATCAGCCCATCACTGGCCTCAGCCATCCAGCAGTAATGGCCCATTGTTGTGATACTACTCGCCTAACCACTCCTTTTCTTTCTTACGCCATCATCATCATCATCATTGGACTTCTTTAGGTGCATGTGAAAATAAACATGACTGATATCATTATTGAATACATGGGGAAATAAAAAGTTATTGAAAAAAAAAGTCATACTTTATCCTCTTAATAATTGATTAATATAATCTTGTTTTATTTTCTTGTTTGGGATGAAAATGCTCTTTTTTTTCTTGGAATAAAAAAAGAACTTTCTGAAGAAATGTACTTCTTTGTTGGCCTCCTTTTTGTGACACATCACTAACAACATTTAATTGTTTTTTTGGACACACTTGACTGAATTTATTTCTCATTAACTTAATTACTTGAAGCACCTTGCAAGTTGGACCAAATGGTGAAGAAGCCAAAAAGTGTGAACTATTTCCATTCTGTTTCAAACATCCTAGGGTGCACCTCATGATGTTGGTTGAGAGAAAAGAAAGTTTACAATGTTAAGTTCATGTGTTGAGTTCACAGAGTTCATGTGTCAGTTCTGATAGGCTCCATCACTCTTCATTTAAAATGTTTCGATTTATTTGTCTTAGATTCATGTGAATTTGTCGTTTTTGATGACTACTATCATTCTCAAATGTGGAAAATAGTTTTATTAAAGAATGAGGTGTGTGAATATTTGACTGGTAGTGTATGTGGAAGGGTCTTTGATGCATGGCTGAAATCTACCAGTCAAGTGTCTCAAAGGATTGCAAAGACATTAAAGTCTGGTAAGTCAGGTCTGCATAAAGTACTGGCAAACACTATCATTTATCTATTAAAAGTTCTGTATTTTTTTAGTCATCATCATGGAGGTGAAACCACATCAGGTTTTGTAAATAGCTGATGTGGGACTGCCCCACATGCACAGAGCATGCTGGAGAATAAGTCATCATGGCCTTCAAAGCAGTCTAAGATCATCCCTGTTTATATGTGCAAATGTGCGCAATGTTTTTTTTTTTATTATTGTAATTTCAACTACATTATTTTTTGACGATTTTTTAATTACTAGTTATTAAATAGTGACTGTTTTTCATTGCTATTCATTAATTACAAGTGCTTATTACTAGTTACTGTCCAAATGGGAATTCAATTCTAATGTTGCATGTAACTATCGTGATTTGGTGTTCAGATCTATTCACTTCCAAAATTAATGCATACGAATTGTATAACGTACCATTTTTTTTTCCTGGTAACTACTCGTTTAGTACTAGTAGCATTTATTAATTACTAGTAAAAATTCCAGGTTTATTTGTACCTATTTGTGAGACACTCAATTGGCATTAATCTCTACTAACTGTTTTTAAAATTAGCTTTTTAAAGAAAATATAAATACAAATCAGTTTAGAATAGCCGTCATGTTTATTATATGGATTTCATTAAAAATGCTACTAGAAACAGTTGCATTAGTGCATGGATAATTTAAAAATGTACGCGTTAAAAAAAAACTTAAATGTATTCCTGTCATCACATGCGCGCGCGCTCTTTCTCCGGTACGTTAGGCAAACGGGAGGTGACGATTCTTAGAATTTCAACCACCGCTCATTAATATTCGTTTATTTAAAAGTTTCGGCGCTGTGATTGGCTGTCAGTTCAAAACACTCGAGCGTGTTGGCCGCGATTAGGCGGGTTCGTGAGAGTGGGCGTGTTTACACATGTAAACTTAAAACATCAACAAACTGAGATTATTCACACAGTCTGTGCGAGTGTTTGAAGGAGAGGTCACATAGTCGCTCCCTGAAAACGGCGGAATTTGAACTGAATTGAAAACAGACAGTGACGAATCATAACAGACTAACATGGATATGCACTTCTGAGGCGACTGACGGTGATAGCTGAAGATATCATTTGGGTTTTTATTTTTATTCTTATAAAAACTGAAAATGTTGGATAAACGTATTGTTGACCTGCGTTTGGATCAGCTGGAAGAAGTTAAAGCGAAAAATGGTGAGTTCATTATAATACCGAACAACAAAAATATAAAGATTTTACTTGTATGCCAATGTTTGAATTTGTTCTAACACATTGTTTTAAAGTACTCAACAGTTAAATTTAAAAATCGCTTTTTCAATTTCAATGTTATCTTAATCCAGATGCATAAGTTAGACTAAACGCCATTCATTCCTAGTTATGTTGTTTCTTGAACATTATTGTGTTTATTTTCAGTTAAAGAGCACTTTGAGAAGCAGTATAAGATGGGAACCCTTTTGGGAAGCGGCGGGTTCGGTTCTGTGTTCTCCGGACAGCGCATTTCAGACGGGCAACAGGTAAAAATGAAATGATAGAAAAAAATTATATAAAAATGTAAATTCTTTTCCCCCTCATAAATGTAGTATTCTAAATGACTTATTTTATGATTTTTAGGTCGCTATTAAACAAATATCCCGTGACAGAATTCAACAGTGGGCAAAACTGGTGAGTAATATTTCATATAAAAAAAAAAAAAAATCCCTCCAATTATTTATTTTATATCCAATTATTTTCTTTCTATTAGTCAGGACCTGCTTGAATAGCCTCTACGTACCAAAAAACGAAGTCAAAGAAATATGATTAACAGCGCCCTCTACTGTTTATTATCATTATCAATATTTTTACCGGAACAGCGTCGTCTTAGTGCAGAAAGTGACGTAGGCGTGACGAATCGGAACAACCTAAAAAGGGAAACTTAGTGGGCTTTCCCTAATATGTCAGAACCAGTTTCATAGACCTAATCAAGAGGGTAGACATGGTTTCAAAACAACAAGTGCATTTATAGGTCCACAAATGTGACATCAAATCGTAGTTTCCCTTTTTAATAACATTTATAACCCAGGGAGTTTACACCTGCAGTAGGGAATTTTAGCAGGGAAAATAATACGACTGTGGAATAAAACCATATTCAGAATTTAAACTCAATAATAATCCTTGTCTTTTTAACTCCCACAGCCTGGGGAAGCAAACGCGGTCCCGATGGAGGTCGCTCTCCTCCTGTGTCTGGGTGGAGGGTCGGGGTCGGTACCCGGTCACCGCGGCGTCATCCGGATGCTCGACTGGTTTGAGGTGCCGGGTCAGGGGTATCTCATTGTGTTTGAAAAACCCCAACACTGCCAGGACCTGTTTGACTTCATCACTGAACGTGGGGCCCTGGAGGAGCCCATTGCACAGAGGTGCGGAAAAGGAGACAGTCTTATTTTGACATTGAGTTCTAACAGTAAACTCCAATACTGATGAGAATTGTCTTTTTCAGGTTCCTCAAACAGGTCATTGAAGCCCTCCAGTTCTGCCACTCCAAGGGAATTGTCCATCGGGACATCAAAGATGAGAACATCCTTATTGACACCCGCACCGGTGACATCAAAATCATCGACTTTGGTTCTGGCGCTCTACTGAAGGACTCCATTTACACTGACTTTGAAGGTAAGGCAGCTTTGGGGTGGTTAATGCGTATTTATGAATATAACATGAATGTGGAATAGGTACGAATGACCCCTCTGTCTGTTTAGGTACCAGAGTCTACAGCCCTCCAGAGTGGATCCTCCACCAGCGTTACAGCGCTCATCCGCTCACTGTGTGGTCACTGGGCGTACTTCTCTTTGACATGGTGTGTGGGGACATTCCCTTCGAGCGGGACGGCGACATTGTAAACGCCACTCCGAGTTTCACTAAACGCATCTCCAAAGGTGAGCCCTCAAACTAAATCAAATGGGAATCATCAACCCCATCTACTTTCTTAAAGGGATAGTACCCCCAAAAAATGAAAATTCTATCATTTACTCACCGTCATGTCGTTTCAAACCTGTATGACTTCTGTGTTCACAAAAGGAGATATTTGAACATTTTCAGTTCCCATTGACCTCCATTGTGCTTTTGTCCATCCATACAATGGGAAAGTGTGCATATAAACTATGTCTGAGTAAACGATGGCAGGTTCATTCAACCTTTATTCTGTTTCATTTCAGAATGCCAGTCTCTGATTCGCTGGTGCCTCTCGTACAGGCCGGAGGACCGCCCGAGTTTGGAGCAGATTTTGCAGCACCCTTGGATGACGGAGACCTCTGAGGACACGGGAGATTTGCAAGCGGAAAGCAATATTAAGCCAAGCCTTTAAATCCTGAAGGACTTTTCACACACACTGTTTCGTCTGACACTGGACTTACTGAACTCTAGTTGCTGGCTTCTGGATACTTCCTTATTTATTTTTGTTTGGCTGCCTTCAACGTTGGTTTTTGTTTCATATGGACTTGGGTTCTGTGCTTCTCGAAGCTCTGGATTGATGCAGTTTTACTTTATGAGTGAATTTTCCCCACGACTACAGCCATCACAGCTCAATGCAACAGCGGGAAACGTTCTTATTTATGCTGATTATTTATTTTTTCAGCCACGTACTAATTTATTTGTGCGCTCTGTGGTTCATGAAGTTTCAGAAGCAGCAAACTGTGTTCGTTTTGTTAGTCTGTGTTCGTTTTAAGTTCAAACTGACTTAAATGACAGTGGGTGGACTTGCAGTCGCTTATTAGACTGCGATGATACCTGGTTTTACAGGTTTTTGCTGTACAGTGATATTCTCTCCCTGTTGTAAGGGGTTTCAAAAAGACTGGATCTGCTTTCCAGTCTTTTGATGGGAGGCCTGCCGTAACAATAATTCAGGCTCATGTGGATCTGTTCCCATTGATCAACACACACTCTCAAAGAAGGTGCGGCAGAAGAGAAGAGGAACATTCCTGTGGATCCTGTTTACTCTAATTTAACCAATTCACTAGATGGATTCCTCAGAGCCATTAGCCAGGCAGATTTTGGTTTCTGTCGGTATTGTTTGTGAAATACCTGGTCTGTAACTTAAAGAATGTCGTCAGGACGCTTCGTGCTGAACATGCTCAGATATGTGTCATTTTGTTGAAAGTTCCCAAAGTTCAAAGGTTTGACTAATGTCATGAGGGCTTCAACCACTAACCCACTAGTGATGTTTACTAAAAAGGGCCAAGTGAGCTTTTCATAATTGTTTGATTTCATTATAACACACCAAAGAGATCTGCCTTACTGCTTTATGTGAGGTAAACAGATACAGTTGATGTGACCAAAGTTTGGGTCCAAAACAGAATTGCTATGTTCAAATTCTTTGATTTGAGACGTTGAAATTGAAGGTATGTGAATTGGACCTCTCCTGACATAATGTGTAATGCATTTGTGTAAACACTGGGGTATTTTTTGATACAGTCATTTTTATGAAAAACAAAATCCTTGCCATTTTCGCTTGGATTGGCATAACAACTTTGCTGTAAATACTTGTGTATTGAAATACTTGTGTGCTGTGGCTGCTGTCACAAGATGTTTAATTTATGAGATTCTATAAATAAAAATATAGAGGTGAAATATCTATATTTAAAGAAACATCTGTCTTTTATATTGTTTTGCTCAAGCAACTTAGAAATTAAAAGAGAAACTGCTGCCAATTTAGTGGATAGACCTGAATAGTGATCATAGTTTTCTGTGCATACTTCAAGTTTTTGAACAGGCATCTCCATTCAGGTTAGTTATTCCCGACAAGCGAAGGAATGATGAACTCTGCCCATCCTTTACTGCAATGACTGAACCAACCTTTCCACATTAGTTCTAAATCACCTGAACCTGAAACCTGGCGGCATTTACCAGTAGACACCTGTTGATGTGTTCAAGCACCTTTTTAAACTAGTGTTTAATGAGTTAAACTTATTCTTTGACTCTTATTGGATCTTAATTTAGGAAAATGTATATTTAGATTATGTGTAGGAAGAAAATACATTTAATTGTCTTAGACTGAGAATGATGAGACTATGCGGAATCTATTAGGTGCTGCTGCCCCCTACTGGTCACTGTGGTGCGATACAAATCTGGCTTTACTGCACCCAGGAGGCAGGCATTTGACTGTACTTTCCCCCCTCCAGTTTAGCAAAATAGAAATTAAGCCATTGTGGATGGCTATGAAAGTATCAGAGTTGGATAATGGAAAAGAGAAAATAAATGTCCAAGGGAAAAAAGTGTCAAAAAAATAAATAAATAAAAAATCCCACGGACGTTACGGGAGTGATTTTGTGGGAAGTCAGTCATAGTACCGATCTCATATGTGCTGTTTCACAAAAGTCTTTTAAGGCTAAAGGCCTCGGTTTCATTGAGCAGCGGCGGGGAAATTATGTCATTAAGCTCTGTAATCATTACAGATCGAGCGGAATCGTGAGTTTGTGGGCAAAATTAAGTTCATGTTCGATGATGATGGCAGCAGAAGGCAATGAAAGTCCAAACAGAAGCACTGAGGATAAAACATCTGCCCGCAGACAGAATGAAGGTAAAAAACAACGTAATTTCATCTAGGCTATACTCTATCTCTCTGATTCAAACATAGGACTCGATGCTTTGGCTGTCAGTTCAAATGCATTTATCATAGAATGAATATGGTTTACACAGTATATGTTATATATTTGTATATGTAGTTTTTACATGGTACTAATCGTTTCAAGAATTCCATGGTGCTTTTTGCATTCAAACAATACAAGTACTAAAAAGTATCATGGTAACAAGGACATGAACGCAAGTTGCAACAGTTTTGTCTTTCCTTTTGTGACGTACGAGTAAAAGAAACTGGCTGCATCCGAAATCACATACTTTCCTATAGGCTATAGTAGGCAAAAAACAGTATGTGACAATCGAAGTACGTCCGAATGTACTGTACTCAAAGAGTATGCAAAAAGTACCCGGATGACCTACTACTTCCGGTTAAATTCTGAAGTGTGCTTATGATGGACACTTTACTATCCCATGAGGCCACAGAAGAGGATTTGTGAATGGAGGTGAAGCATGTCCAATGAAGTAGCCTACGTCCAGATTGCATTCATACTACACACACATACATGCATACTATTTAACATACTTTTTAGTGGTTGTGAAGTAATTACTTATTCAAAATAAGTACCTACTCAAGAGAGCAAGTGATTTCGGAGGCAGCCACTGCTTCTCGAATGAGATAAAAATGTATGACATCACTTTGTAGGCCAACCGGCAGCAAGCATCACACTGGTACCCTTTGAGAAAAACCCAATAGGATTTTCATAGGCTTTTGGATTATCGCTAAAAACAAGCTCTGTGATCAACAAAAGTTTATGATACTTGCATGTTTTGTCCATCAAGATAGTTATCACAGATTAACAACTTTAATACATTTTGAAGCCTATATGCAGTCGCCAGAAGTAAAGTTTTCAGTTCTTATCTAAAAACATTTTCCCAGACCGTTTGAGTTAGAATCGTTTATAAGAGCACAATTATTATTAGCATAACGATGCTGTAAAAGCACTGTTAACCTGTTCGGCGTGATGACGTTTAATCTCCTCGACAGCCTCTGAAATGTAGTCCCATTTAGCCACTTGCTAGCAACCGCCTTTTTCAAGACACGTAACCGCTTCAAAAAATCCCGACTGGGGTAATATTGATGTATTTTATGTCGTAGAATAAAATGTAAAAAGTGCCTTGAGCTTGTGTTCACCACAGACTTTATTTCAGCCATTTAACTAAAATCCCATTAAAAAACATTTTCTTCGGGACGATGGAACCGGAAGTGCTAAAATGCTAACTCGCTTCCGCGTTTTGGCCTACAAAGTGATGTCATACCTGCACCACTCTATTGATTGGATGGTTGTGGTTTGCTGTTGGTGGATGTCATGTGAGTGACACGCTGAAAACCACATCATCAGAGAAGAGGGAGAAGTTATTTTCATTAAAGATTACGAGGGCAAATCAATAAAAAAATTATATTATGCACGAATAAATAATTCATAATAAATGCTGCAATTTTCCATTTAAAAATAACAACTGGAGTTTGATTTCATGGTGACTATATTACCATGTTAGGCCAATTACTTTCTGATATGTATCAGTTTACAGGATAAATGAAGATTCAAAAGAATAGCTTTGATAAATAGAGAAATATAAGATTTCCAGTTTTTGAAACTCCCTTTCTTCTTGTCATATTTAATCATATTTTTGAGAAGATTTCTCAGGGAAGTGTTTGCCCTCCTCACATTCTATTATTATTTCTTAGTGAATGCCATTGATAAATGAACTTGCTTGCCAGGAAATAGTTTCCACATGCAGCCGCGTGAATTAATCGTCTGTAAGAAGTGTGTTTTCGTCTGTTTGCGTGTGCTTTAACTGATGATAATGACTAGCTACATTCAGAAAAGCGAGAGACGTCCATGCATGTTGGTGTTTGTCAGTGTATATTATTTCCAGTTTCACACTTTCAGTAAGTCTTTACAGATGCATTTGTGCCTATAACAACAGGTAAATGATAACTAAATATCCCTGACTCTTGTCTCATGCAGTTAAGATAATGAAGTTGATCAGTCTGGTGATTCTGGTGATCCAGAATGCATCGCTCATCTTCAGCATCCGCTACGTGTGGACACTGGCTGGAGATCATTTTTTGGCCACATCTGCTGTCGTGATGGCGGAGATTCTTAAAGTCCTCACCTGTCTGTTTCTCATCACCATGCAGAAGACAGGCGAAACATCTACCAGTGGTATTGCTTGGGTTGGCAGAACGATTTTACTCTAAATACTTGTGTACTGAACAATGTAATGTGACTGTTGATGTTCCATTTAAGAGATTTCATCGATAAAAATTTAGATTTGAAATATCTATTTTAGAAACACTTGTCTTCTTGACCATTATATATATTTTCTAAAGAAAATAAGAGAGAACTAAATAATGGTAAATATAAAAGTCCAAAATATAAATATCGATTATATGCATGTTCTGCCTTTTTGAAGAATTTATACAAATAAAAACTATGCAATTATGATACAATTTGTCTTTGCCTTTATTTGTAATGTATGTATTAAGTCACTTTAACACATATACAATCAAAATCAGCTGATAATAAATCTGATCAATGTCAAATATTATTACTTATGAGGAGAAATGTGTATTTAAGCAATAAAGATGGGTATTTTTAATTGTATATGCCACATTTCTCAGGCTTTAAAAATGTTATATTTGTGGGGGTATTTGTTCAGCCTCAAATAATGCCAGTTAAAACTCATTAAGTTCAATATGAATCTAACCTGTGTATATTTATTCGCTATAAACTATATATTTTTTTAGCATTAACTAACATTCCATTATAAAATGCTTATGTCTCGTGATAATAATGATTGTGTGCTTCTGCCATCTAGAGGTCCCTGTAGTATAGCAATACATCATTCTTCTTGAGAGACAGTTGCAATGTTTTTTTTTGTCATATTTAATTATTATTGAGCAACAATATTTTAGTTACCTGATTACTTTTAGTTACCTTTGTATTGATATTTCTTCTTTTCTTTTTTTAAATTCAGACACAAGCAAGCATAGATGAATATAATAAATAAATAAAAAAGTTTTTTAGCACATAAGTATGTGGTGTTCAACAATTAAGTCAATTAAACGTCATAGATAGCACGTATTTGATTAAGAATCAAAACTAGATTTTAAATGTAATAGCCATATGTAAGAGCACATTAATAATATATTATTATACAAAATATTTGTTTTCCAAAACAAAGCAGAAAAAAACGCATCCTTCATTTCTTCCATTTTCATTATTTTCTTTCAGCAATCTACATTTCTTTGAATAAAATACTGTGGCTATATATGAAACCAGCCTAATACCACCGGAGGAACGACCCTAATACCACGCCATTTGGTTACTTCAAAGTGCATATGCAGAATTCAATGCTATTGCTAATACCATAGTAATTTTGAGGTACTTTTTATGCCATTTATTTGATTCGAGGCTGCCATGGAGGCTGCACGCGGGCGGCGCTAATAGTTTCCGTAGATCAGATCGCGATAGAGCGAAGAAGAAGAAGAGCGTGAGCGCGTGTGATTGGTCGAGGCTCTCGCGAACGGCTACAGGAAGTGATTGTGTGCTTGGGGACGTCAACACTTTTCCTCGAGCACCTCTGACCATTCCGACCGCATTCACCGCATATGTGAGCTGTTTCATGGAGCAGCGGTGGGGAAATCATCATCAAGCTCTGTAATCAATACAGATCGAGCGGATCGTGTGAGTTTGTGGGCAGAATTAAGTTCATGTTCGATGAAGATGATGATGATGGCAGCAGCAGGCAATGAAAGTCCAAACAAAAGCACTGAGGATAAAACATCATCCCGCAGACAGAATGAAGGTAAAACAACAACAACAACAAATTAAATTTCATTCAATTTCATCTTCAGTATGCTATCTCTCTGATTCAAACACCTGCCTGTTTAAGGACTCTGCTTTGCCTGTCAGATCAAGTGCAATGAAGTATGAAAATGTATCATGGACTCCATAGTTACCCACCCAAATTCCATGGTTACCACAGCCTACTATAATATCATTACCATGTGTTTTGGACATACACCATTGCAGTGTTTGAAGTTCAATGTAAATAACATGGACCATGGTATCTGAATATAGGACAATGATATTGCTGTTTGATACTATCACTTACAAAAGCGTACCAGTATCTTGGAGGATGTACATGAGTATGACAATCATCCAGGAATTTTACAAAGTGCCTTGGTATTACCATCTGATATCACTGTAACATGGTAGTACTGACACAGTATTTATTAGCGTAAGAATATGGTAGAGACCAAATAATGAAAAATCAAGATCAAAATACAACAGGGTTTGTCATCTCTCTCCTTTTTAGCCATCTGATGAATGAATTATAAAATCACAAAGGCAAACAATATCTGTTTTTGTTTTGTTTGATTAAAAACAAAAATATAATCACTCCCAAATTACTTTGAGAGTGTTGCACATTTGTTGCACTGCAATAAAGAAATATAGTTTCATGAACAAACATTAAATAATTAAAGTTAGTTAATGCATTTGGTATCATGAACTAACAGTTCTAACGAACAGTTTGGCAGAAGGTGTGTGTTATACGTCAGTCTGTCTGGATGTATGACATTCATACAAACACTGAAAACTGGCGAAACAGGATCCCTTTTCACAGTTCCTGTTTGTCATGTCTATAGAAACCTGAGCTTTTTTGTGATTCTCTCTGAGATAACAATCATAAAGGGGTTAATTTTTTTGTATTTCCATTTTGCCTTTATTTCTGTCTTTCATCTTGTCTTCTCACATTTTAATCCAATTTTAGTTAGATGGCCATTTGGTACCCAGTAATGTGTCAGTGAACTGCATTAATATGTTTCCACATGCAGTGGTGTGAATGAATGAAGTGTCTGTAAGCAGGGTGTTGGCACCGGATTGAGCAAACATTCGCCCATGTTGACGTGTATAGGTGTGTCCTAACTGAAAATACAAGCAAAACATTGACTAGCTGCATTTAGAAAAGTGAAATACTGACGTCAGTGTTCAGATCCGTTCCCAGTTTCAAGCTTTCAGTGAAAAACCTGCTTTTTGTTGACCAAAATATTCTCGTGCTTGTCTCTTGCAGTGAACAAGAAGTTGAAGTACATCAGTTTGGCAATTCTGGTGATCCAGAATGCATCGCTCATCCTCAGCATCCGCTACGTGCGGACGTTGCCGGGCGATCGTTTCTTCACCACATCAGCCGTAGTGATGGCAGAAGTTCTTAAAGTCTCCACCTGTCTGGTCATCATCGTGATACAGAAGAGAGGTGCGTTCACTGGAGTTGTGGCCTGTTACGGTGCAGCCGTACATGTGTATAATATGTCTTAAAGGGATTGTTCACCCTAAAATGACAACTCTCTCGTTTACTCACCCTCATGTCGCTCCAAACCCGTTCATCTTCGAAACACAAATGAAGATATTTTTAATGAAATCTGAGAGATCCTTCCATTGACAACTACAAAAAGTTCATAAAGACATTGCAAAACTAATCCATATGAATCGAGCGGTTTAGTGTAAGTTTTCTAAAGAGACTCGATCGCTTTATTATGATGAACAGATTTAGTCAGTGGAGGTACAGAAATCTTTTAGATTTCAGGGGGAGTACAATTGATGACAATTTCTTTCATTTTTGGGCGAACTAACCCTTTAAGTTCAAAGATGGTTTTAATAAGATTAATGTCTTATCTCACAATACTTTTTGTGTTGAGCAATATTTATGTTTATTATTATTTTTTAAAAATGCCATTTTGATATTCTGTTTTATGCAATGACACTCATATCATACATGTTAAGTGTGGCTAAAGTGTCCAAATATTTTTCTGCATATTTTCTGCTTTCTATGATTTTCTTTTAATTTACTTTTATTCAGATGTATTAAATAGATCAAAAGTAAAGGCATTGACAAGGTTAAAAAAAGATTTCGATTTCAAATAAATGCTGTTCTTTTGAACTTTCTATTACGTAATCAAAGAATCCTGGGGGGGAAAAAATCACTGTTTCCACAAAAATATTACTGTTTTTCAACATTGATAATAATCAGAAATGTCACTTGAGCAGTAAATCACTATATTAGAATGATTTTTGAAGGATCATGTGACACTGAAGACTGGAGTAATGATGCTGAAAATTCAGCTTTGCATCACAGGAATAAATTACATTTTAAAATATATTCAAATAGAAACGGTTATTTTAAATTAAAATAATATCACAAAATAAATCAAATAAATTGGTGCCTTGGTGAGCATAAGAGTCTTTCAAAAACATTTTTAAGAAATCTTACTGACCCAAAACTTTTGAATGGTAGTGTATGTATGTAATAACTCTACTAACAAAAAAACTACTACTACTACCACTACTACTATTATTGCAGCAGTGTGTTTGATAACAATGTGTCTCTTTTCTCTCTCTTTTTTTTTAATGCAGGTAATGTGAAGACCTTCGTATGGTTGTTGTATGACTCTATATTCATCCAGTATTCGGACACACTGAAGTTAGCAGTTCCGTCACTCATCTACACTTTACAAAACAACCTGCAGTATGTGGCCATTTCCAATTTACCAGCAGCCACTTTCCAGGTAAGACTTCTCCACAATTTATTTGTGTGTGTGTGTGTGTGTGTGTGTGTGTGTGTGTGTGTGTGTGTGTGTGTGTGTGTGTGTGTGTGTGTGTGTGTGTGTGTGTGTGTGTGTGTGTGTGTGTGTGTGTGTGTGTGTGTGTGTGTGTGTGTGTGTGTGTGTGTGTGTGTGTGTGTGTGTGTGTGTGTGTGTGTGTGTGTGTGTGTGTGTGTGTGTGTGTGTGAAAAATGCTTAGTAAAAACAAGGCTTTCCGTGTAGATTTGAAACTTCCAGAAGGTTGCAATGATATGAAATTCATTTTGTTTTTGTAGGTCACATATCAGCTGAAGATCTTGACCACAGCATTGTTTTCAGTGCTCATGCTGCGGAAGAGTCTGTCTAAAATCCAGTGGATCTCACTAGTGCTGCTGTTCGCCGGTGTGGCGATCGTCCAGGTGGATCAGGAGAGTGGGAAACAGAAGGAGGCTTTGACCGGCATCAACCAGAACTACTTCAAGGGCTTGGTGTCCGTGATCGTCTCGTGCTTGTCCTCCGGGTTTGCCGGCGTTTACTTCGAGAAGATCTTGAAGGGAAGCTCTGCCTCGGTGTGGATGAGAAACATCCAGCTCGGGATCTTCGGGACTCTTTTGGGTCTCCTCGGCATGTGGTGGAACGATGGCGCCGCCATTGCTGATAAAGGCTTCCTGTTCGGATACACTCCCCTTGTGTGGGTCGTCATTTTCAACCAGGCATTCGGCGGCCTTCTGGTGGCTGTTGTCGTAAAATACGCAGACAATATTCTCAAAGGCTTCGCCACCTCTTTTTCCATCATCGTGTCCACGATCACGTCCGTCTACCTCTTCGGCTTCCACGTGGACCTGATATTCACGCTGGGCGCAGGATTGGTCATAGGAGCCGTCTATATGTACAGTCTCCCCAAACCAAACACCAGCACTTCCAGCACCAGCACATCTTCACCCAGCCACAGCAATGGAAGAGACTCGGAGCTGGATGCTTTCCTTCCAAAGTCAGTGCTGGTGAAATGAAATGAGCCACCTTATCTGTGTCCCCTTCCATTAATCGCTCTTTACCTCTCTCGGTGGAAGTCCTAACTCTCTTCTCTTTCTCATTTCTCTCTGCTGCTGTGGGTTTGGGTGCTTTCTGTGAACACGTCTAGGCCAAATGAATTAGTTCAATAATTTGGAAAGCACAAACCAGAGAGACGTAGACTTAGGTTTCACAGTTTTCAGTGTTCGTTTTTTTTAATACCAAAAACAAACAGTGGCATTTTTCACCTGGGATATCTGTCGAAACTCTTTCCCAACATCTTCACCTCCCTTCCCTGTTTGCCTTAAACAGCATTTTCCTGATCTCGGGGGAAGAAGACGTGAAGCAGAGGAACGTTTGAGTGGATTGACTTGAAATCTAATGGAGGAATCTCACAAAACCTGTAACTTCCACTTCAAAATAAAGAGAAACAAATCAAAGCCTATTAAGTGCTAAAACAATTGATTGCATTGTGAAATTTAAGCACATTTAACTTTCAAAATCAACATGAATTAAATTCTCTTTAAAATAAATCAATTAAATAATGTAAATAATATATATTTTTTGCACTTTATGGTAATGCAAATTTTAAAAAGGAATGTGTTTATTTCTTATGAAACCAATGCAAACCAATGCAAAAGTCACAATCTTAATGGTCCACATAACCAGAGACTATTTATATAGAGACATGCCACTTCATCAATCCAAACAACTATATAGGGAAAACCCGTAACGCCAAAGATGGCGGTTGTATGCACATGCCCCGCCCCTCCCGCTGAAAAGCCAATCGTCTGCTTTTAACAGTCAAGCCGGGAAACATTTAACCCTATCGTCTGGTTCCACTGACGCATGCGCACAGTTGAGGTTTGCGACAGCGCAAAATACGTTACTGTTTGAAAAGGCGGCAGATTTGATATGCAGTGTATGTGTGAGTTGTGTAATATCAGACATCAGAAGTCTCCCGCAGATTGGTAGCGGCTCCCTGATATCCGCAAATTAGTTCAAATCTCCCGGAATCTAGAGCGAGCGAGCAAGAGCTCACATACACTGTGCTTCAAACTGTAGCTCGCGCACGACCAAGGGAGAGAACCCTTGCGCATGCGTAGTAAAAGTATAACCTGTGGGGAAAAAGGCCTTTTAAACCTTATTTTGGGGCAAAGTCATCAAACTTTTTCAGCGATTTTTATCATATTTTACTGCTGTTTCTATACATGCAGTTTTTATGTCACGGTGACCAGTGAAACTGCAGTTCTGACTCTCTGCCCATTCATTTAGATAGGAGCCTGGTCTTGTTAGTCCGAAATAGCTGCCCGGAGGCGTTGCCAAGATGGCGACCGAGTGGCATGACTTGCCTAAAAGGACTTTGACATAACGCTAGGCTTAATTTTCTTCACACAAAATATAATTGATCAAGTTCCTCTAATTTCTATTATTGTGATTGTTGGTGTGAAATTTACCCAGGTATCATCTTGACAGGTTTTTGTGAGATTCACCCAAAGCTTCTTCTTCATGCCAAGTTCTTCGCCCCAAATCATTGTCTCGTGTAAATAGAGAAAAAGAAAAATAATGGTTGAGAAAAGCTGTTTGAATGTCTGCCGTGTTTAAAGCATGGCAATACCTCATGGCAACACCTCTAAGGTTTGTAAGAGCTTGTTTCACTCGTATCTGTAGCAGTATTGTGGCATTTGTCGTCTGCGTGTTGAGTTTAGTTTCATACTGGGTGATTTGGGCTGATATAGTAGAGGAATCGGATCAAGGGAAGCTTTGAAATCAGCTTGCAGGGAATAATATAAGTTACATTTTTCTCTGCAAGTCCTTCTTACCCATAATCAATGTATTAAGCGATGCCACCCTTACAGGGCATGCCTGAAAATGAGCACTAATTGAAATTGAGCTCCATTAATGCTATTAAAATGTGTTTTAATGCGCTCGAACTCGAAATATTTGACGGACAATCGCTTAACACATTGTTTCCATGTGGATTCTTGCTTTACCACCCTTGGCATTTTCAGCTCTCAGCTCTTTACTGTTCAGGAAACTGACTAACCTGGTCATTTTCTAACCAAATGGCACCTTAGTGAAAGAAAGCTCTTCTGATTTCTTTGTGTGTGCAAATGTCTGCGTCTCTATGTGAGGGGGACTAGGCTAGTTTTGCTTAACCAACAACTGGTTAATGCTGTGCCTTTCTCAATCAACTTGTGACTGAATGGTAACTATACATACACTGTACATAATATCAAAATAATATCTCCTTTTTATGATGCAAAAAACTCAAGATTTGTGGATTTATCTTATGTTATGTATTGTATAAACAATTTTGTGCACATATTTGATACAAATATGCCAAAACTGTTCTCAGTAAGTCCCCACACCTCAAGAGAACGTCCTGATATATAAATGAATGTTTTATTTCCGTTTTTTTACAGTAGGAAATATGCTCACCAGAGCACATATGGAAATATGGTCAACAGGTGATGGATCATATTGGGGAAATATATTGTTGTGGTTTGGTAAAGAGGCTTTTGTTGCTCTTTAAAAGGGTTTAATATGCATGTCAGAATTCATATAAGCTTAAAAGAACTGGGTTAAGTGCTGTAAAGTAGATTTTAATTCCTCATTGTTTTGGGTGCAGAAGTGTTTGTTTACTTTCTTTGGTGATACTAGTTGCACTAATTTACTCTTTTTTTTTTTCTTTCTTTTTTTTTTGTCAACATGAAATCAGAATTAGCTCCGTTTACTTTATTACATGCTGGTGGTCTTAATGTGCACAAATGATCTGTGCACATTATTTCTGAGAAAGAAATGTTTGTTTTATCTAAATATAAAGTTTTCCCCATCCTCAAAATTGCTTTCTATGGAAGCTTGTTTCCGCCACAGAATAAAAAATAAAAAAGGTAATTGCAACTTTTTATTTCACAATTCTGATTTTTCCCCCCCCTTGAAATTCTGACTTTATAACACGCAATTGGCAGTTTATATCTCGCAATTCTGACAAAAAAGTCAACATGAAACAAGCTTCCATAGCTTTCCTTTTCGCCTGTTGTTAATGTAGAAATGTAATGGATGCTTAACGTTAATGTAATTAACAATACTACAATAACCGCAAATAGAAATTCCCATAAAAACTTCCCATTATATTTAATACCTGCTTTCCTGATGAAACCAATACCTTTGTGATGGTAAAAAGGCTTGCGAATAACGTTTCATGTTGACTTTAATTCACAAATTGTGATGTTACTACTTCCCTTCAGCTCTAAAGTTGATAGTCTAGATCTTAAACCCCATCATCGGTTTGTTTTTCGAGACTTTTTCAGAAACTAATGAGCCGAGAGTGGCCTCAGGCAGCTAAAGCGATTTTGTGTGAGTGTGCGTGCGGTAAAATATGTTACCTAGATATGATTGTGTCTGTGTGCGTGTTTGGGTATGAGAGAATTTACTAAAAGCCATTTTATGACACAAAGTCATGTAAATCTTTCATGTTTGTTTATAAGAGATTATTATGATGGTGATTATACATGATGGCCTTGAAAGATATATCATTATGAATATTAATTAGGGTCACAAAAGATAGAAGAATTTTCAGTGAATCACAAAGAAACAAGTACAATGTGAACTGAAAATATTGTTTTCCTTTGTATGTTCGGCTCATTGGTGGATAGATCTGATTTTAAGAACTTGAGCTGAACGCGAACACGTACAAAAATATGAAACGTTGCACATGTCCAGTTGAGATTTATGTTCAATTTTTGTGTTCTGTGACAACTGTTAACACCTCATCATTGCAGAAAGACTGCACAGATTTCATCATCACAGCTGATAAATCAAGGACGGCCTCTGTTAAGCCCTGACTCTGGCACTATGATCAATATTGTAAATATTAGTCTGTGAAGAGTTGAAGTATGCCCCTGTTGGCTAATTTCTTATAGTGGCCTCTTTCTTGAGGCTGACAATAAACATCGAATAGAGTTTCTGTTTCTTATGAGCTTCAAAATTTTATCTTTCTTGTGTGTGTGCGTGTGTGTATAATCCCAGTGTAGACTTGAGAACTAAGTGAATACATGAAAACATGTAATTATATTTCACCCGAATATTAAAGCAAACACAAATGTTTTTTTGTGCGTGGAAAAATATGAAGACTGTTTTTAGGATTATTTTAATTTTTTTAGTTAAAGCAATGATTTACTGACAATTTCTCCTATACTCTCATTGCTGTGGTTAAGGTAATATATCTGGATTTTCCACTGGGGTTTTTCAGGTTTAGTTACTTTCTAAGTCCCATGTGTTCTTTAGTGATTCTCATTTCTGTAGTTTAGTCATCTTTGCGCTGAAATAATTATGTAATATATACTCTGCATAAATTAAATGCAGTAAAACAAATGCTACCCTGATGCATAAATATTAATAGCCTAGTTAATAAATGAGAATTAGTTGATCATGGACTTCTCATGATTTGCTGATTGAGCTTTTCATACATCAAATGACTTTTCCCCACTTTACCGGTAAAAACTGTTTAAAATAATTTTTTTAAGCATAAAACAGACTTTTTGGGGCACACGCTAAAAAATGTAAACAGAACGGGTTATCAGAGGTGATTTTGCTTTATTTCTGCACAAGCATAACTAATCACTAACTGATCTCTTGCATAATAATGTTAATGCATCCCTTATATATATACACTACCGTTCAAAAGTTTGGGGTCGGTACGATTTTAAATACTTTTAAAAGAATTCTCTTCTGCTAACCATGGCTGCGCTTATTTGATTAAAAATACAACAAAAATCAGTTATAGTATTAAATATTATTCCAGTGTAAATCAGCTGTTTTCTGTGTGAATATATAGTAAAGTGTAATTTATTCCTGTGATCAAAGCTGAATTTTCAGCATCACCAGTGTCAGTGTCTTCAGTGTCAAATGATCCTTCACAAATCAGTATAATATGAGGATTTGATGCTCAAGAAACATTTATTATTATTATCAATGTTGAAACAGTTGTTGGTCTGTCAGTTGTACAGTTTTTTTTTTTTTGGGGGGGGATTCTTTGACGAATAGGAAGTTCAAAAGAACAGCATTTGTTTGAAATAGAATCTTTTGTAACATTATAAATGTCTTTACTGTCACTTTCGATCAAATTAAGTATTGATTTCTTTCCTCCAAAAAATAAAAATAAAATTCTCACTGACCCCAAACTTTTGAACGGTAGTGTATATATATATATATATATATATATATATATATATATATATATATATATATATATATATATATAAACTGCATGGCCAAAGTATGAGAAAACTTGAACATCACATCCATATGTAGTATGTACTTATTGAACTTTCAATTTCATAACCATTGTAGTTAATCAGGCAGTCGTCCTCCCTTGAAGCTTTCATCTTTATGGATTTGCATAAGGCATGTTGTCATGCTGGAACAGAAAACCGCACCATTATATTATTGTATTGTACTTTTATCGATTCTTTGTTCCTGTTAGTAATGGGCGTAGTTCAAATAGCCAAATCGGTTCATTACAAAGGTGTGTCCACATACTTTCAGTCTAGTAATGAGAATTACCAGATACCTTTAAAATATGAGCACAACTCAGATATATATTTCACAAAGGAGCAATGTGAGATCTCTGGGTGTTTACTTCGGCATGGCTGTATGATATTCAAGAATGCATTGCATGTATAAAAACTAGCAAACACAGATAAATATGTATGTATATATAATGTTAAAGTCCACAAACAGTGGAGAAACACATAACACCATAATATTTCTCTGTTTCTCTTTGTTAACTGTACAATTAATGTGTCCTTTCTCTCTCTTTTCTGTTACCATTAGTCCCAAGGCCCCAGGAAAGAAGAAAGGAAATTGACAAAAACATGATACATGAGAAGAGATGATGAGAACACATTGTGCCTACAGGTCCTACACTCCTGCCCTATTTTCCAAAGGAAAAGATGAGGGTTATGTTTCAATTGCCTTATATTAACTCCGTTACAAGTGATCGTACTTCTAAACTACACTGTGCTGATTGACTTTATGAAACCTCATATTTATACTGATACCTCACTATCATAATGTTATGCATTTGATATTGTCATCGATTGAAGGTGTAATATTATATTATATTATTTTTACGTTTTGTATGCTGGAACTGGAAAAGTAGGCTACTTTTTTCAGTGGCCTCATCAAATTGTGAATTCAGAAGCTGCTGCCTTATTATGAAATATTTTCTTTCTTCTTTTATTGTAGTTTTGCTTTTTTTTACTAATAAGTGTTTTGCCATATCGTGTTCATTGGTGCTTTGTGTATTAGTGCCTTTAACATTTCAGCTGTGCTATGAGTTTCAAATATACTTTAAATAATCAAGCACACTTTTCTTTCTCCACAGTGCACTTCAGAAACTCTATTTCATGTTATATTATCATGTTATATATATGCCAAGGAACTTTAGTTCACCTCTTTAGAGTACAAAATCTGCATTTCTGATCTAAACATATCGTGTATGCATATCACCGTGCTGTACAAGTTTTGTTTTAAAAATATCTATTCTAGATTATTATTTTTTATTATTGGCTGAGCAGCAGTAAAATGCAGTGACTGAATTGCAGTGGTTATATTTCAACCTTGTAAACATACAATTGCCTTATCATTTCACAATCCAAGTGAGGAGACCTAAAACTTAACTAAATGTTTAATAATTTCAGAAGATTAATCAATATTATTGTTGTATTTGTGTTTGGAATAAACATGGTTTTGAATGTGATTTGCCTTGTTGCTAATACAAAATTATGTTATAATATTGTTAGCTTGAGTGGGTTTAACCCCAAAATCCCTGGTCTAATTTTCCCCACATTTTTCACCTGATATGATCTTTGAATCTGGCAAGAATTCCTTGATTAAGGTGTCATTTTTCAACAGAACAGTTCACATTTTAAAGAGAGCATTTGAGTGAATTAAACTTTTCGAAATTGATTTGTTATAACACTTTATTTAAAAAAAAAAAAAAATTATATATATATATATATATATATATATATATATATATATATATATATATATATATATATATATATATATATATATTATTGTATTGTATTTTATTTTATTGAACAGGGACTTTTACACTAGCATTTTCCCGGCTTCGACACAGGAAGTTGTCATGCCGTAGAGTGAGTTGGCACGTATACCGGAAGTACATTAGTGTGAAGTGGAGTTAGGGTGCAGCAGAAGTTTTGACAGATTCCTGCAGGCCTTTCTGCGAATATTACTGATTTTACTTCACATTCTGTAAGTTTTAATACAGCTATTTATTTAATTTCTCTTAAGTCAAATCAGAGCTCTTATGAATGTGAATAATTGTGTGTGTACCTCAAATAACACAGCGGATTTTCTTATATCTTGTATTGCTCTGACAGAGACATGTTTATGTATGTAAGTTTGTTGACATATGTATGCCTACTATTCACAGTTTTTTTTAACCGATATATTTCCATTTTTATCTAGTAGTATAACGTCTTTTTTTTCCTAATTTTTAGTCAGTCTAAGCAGTTCTTGACTATACATTTGTAACTTAATTCGTTCTTCATATGTTATATTTGATAAGATCTGTCAATAAATGTTTATTTCTCCCTTGATTATAAAACAATTTAGGTGTGAAATTATTATTTTCTGCCTTTAAATTCTAATCTATTAATAATTATTTGCTAAATATACCTGGTCTGGCTAGCTTTCTTCTGTTTAATGAGCGAACCTGCTCTCTGTGAGCAAGTGAGTTTGAATGATTTACTACCAAACTAAGACGTTTTTCCTTGTATTTGACATGCATTGGTTTTTGATCATGTCTCAATCTGTAAAGACCTCAGGTGGTCTCATATATGTGTCTCATAGATGTGTCTGCATGGGGTTCTCTGTTTATAGACATAAGATGGTGCTGTTGTATAACTTTGATGATTTAATGAGCTTCACCTGAGTGTCTACATTTTTTCTTTTTTTCATGATAATAAAATAATATGAGTTTGTGAGTAATAGTAGTTACTAATAGTGGAGTTTAATTTACTCCAATGATTTCGTTAAGACGTAGTACATGCCTGGTTTCACTGACAGGGTTTAGACTAAACCAGGATTAGACCTTATTTCAATTAGGGCATTTAAGTAGCTTTTTATAATCGTACCTTAGAAAAAACATTACTGATGTGCATCTTGAAACAAAACAATGGCACTGACTTATTTTAAGATATATCAGTGCAAGTTGCTTTCAGTTAAAACACCTCAAACATGCATTTTAATCTGGGACTAGTTTACCAGTAAGCCTTGTCTGTGAAACTGGGGGATAGTTTCCCAAATCTTGTGCCGATCACATGCTTTATGCTACATTATGTTCACAGGGCCTGGTAATTGATGTCCATTTAATCAGATTAATCACTGATCACTTCTGATGTGTCCTCACAGACTTGCAGGTAGCCGTCATGAGTCTTCAATGGACAGCCGTGGCTACATTTCTTTATGCCGAGGTATTTGCGATACTACTACTATGTGTCCCGTTCATCTCCCCAAAACGGTGAGTTTCATGTGTTATTGAAATGCATGTTAAGTTAATAGTCCACATAGTTATCGTGGTAATCTTAATAACATCTGATAGTCGTCAGGTTCTGAAAACTTTCACTTCTGATCCATTTTTCTCTCACACCAGTTTTCTTCAACACTGGCCTCTGTCCAGGAAAGATCTTTTGATCTTTAGCCTAAAAGAGTATTGCCAGTACTGAAATGTGTCCATTTGTTGCGAAATAATGTTGTTGTGCTAAAGCCCTAAAAAATGAATTACTCTGAGCATTTAGTTTTTGATTTGGATGTTTTTGATTCCAGCACTACCAGGATAATTAAATTCTGTGCAATGCTTTTATTTAAAAAAGGTCTTGTGAGGGAGTTATTTCTTAATCTGAGAGCATTCACATGATCTTCCAATCAGTTTAAAGGTTGTTAGGTTGTTAAACAACATTTTCCTAGAATCACAAAGAAACACTCTCAGAAGCATTTCTTTTTGTCTTTTTCACGAGTCACACATATTCTCAAAGACATTTGTTGGTGCTCCCTTTTAAGTGTGTTGTGAAATGTAAACGCTATGATGTTCTTTGGACTTGTTGAGAAAGATCAGTGTTATCTTATGTGCCTTTTTGCCCTCTGTTTATTAAGGTTTTATCTCTGTCTTGCCTTTGTAGATGGAGCAAAATTTTCAAGTCTCGCCTGGTCACTGTCATTGCGACATATGGAAACACTGCCTTCATCGTCATCATTTGTATCCTTGTCTTTCTGCTCGTAGGTGAGCTTGAACACACCTTACCGCATTGTTCCCATTAAGCAGTCTTCTTCAATCTTCACTGCATAAATGTACATACACCAACACACGGCAATGAAGTCAGTATGATGTTAAAGAGGATGTATCATTAAAAATACTATTCACTCCGTCTCCAGTCCACACAGACCATTTGTTACAACTAAGTTGCAAAAGCGGGTCATTCAGATATAATCTCTGTATTCATGCCATAATGTGCTCATTAGCATATGACTGTCTGCAATTACAAATTTTGTACATTATACACATTATATAAAAAATGGTATTTGAAAATATGAAAAGTATGAAAAAGTTAGTCATAACAGATGATTAAAATACACTAAAAGTAAGATATATTATTTATACACACACAACTGCTTTCAAGATTAATAAGAAGAAATGTTGAGATGTATTAGAATGATTTCTGAAGGATCACTGAAGACTGGAGTAATGATGCTGAAAATCCAGCTTTGACATCACAGGAATAAATTGCATTTCAAAATATAGAAAAAGGTTATTATAAATTCTAATAATATTGTAAAATATTTATATTTTTAATAAAAAATAAACTTGGCAATTTATATGAAGTGAGTATATGCAATAATTAAAATAAAAACATTTAATCGCTAATGTGTACGTTTTGACAGCTCTACAAACATTACATTTGTGCAAATTCTCTCTTTGACTTTTGCATGGAATGAACTAGATTTATGAATGAAAAATAGAAAGCAAAGTTTGTGTTTCTGCCTCTACAGATGCATTTAGAGAAGTGAGAAAATACAGTGTGTCGGAGAAAGTGGATCTGAGCAACAACCCTGTGGCCATCGAGCACATCCACATGAAGCTGTTCAGGGCCCAGAGGAACGAATACATCGCCGGCTTCGCTCTTCTCCTGTGTTTGTGAGTGTTTTTCTTTCTCTCTCTCTCTCTTGCCATGTTTGTCTCATTTTCTGTGACACTCGCTCCCGCAGGTCTCTCCCACTTCTGTATTTTACCCACCTTAACATGTACATGTCTCGCTTTGGCACTGGTTTCCTGAACACGATCAGTTACACGGCCTGACTTTATTTTAGTTGATGGCTCCCAACAGATTTTCCTGGATAAGCTTTTAAACAGAACCCTTTCAGAACAGGGTCATTGGGTTCTGCACGTTCTGTGCCAGAGGAGTATTCAAAAAGATGTGCAAGTTGTTTGATTTTGACTGTTTGTTATGTTACAGTGCCTACTAAAGTTACCAGCCAGCTGGAAAATAACGTATTTACTCACCAAACACCTTTTTTCACTCTCATTAAGCACTTGCCGAGTGTTAATTTAGGACCCTGGGTGTGCAACTACTGGTTGCGTTCAGTAGGTTTTGTCCTCAACTTGCCAAATTTTTCTCCGCTGTCAATGTAGCCAAGCCCAGCACTGCTGACCTCATCTGTCACTAAATGATACCATTCACCGACTCAAGGACATTCAAGACACATAGATTACTTGTGGCAAAACAAATAATGTTCAGTTAGAATGTTTATCAGTGATATTCAGTTCAAATAGTATCAAGGTTATATTATTTACATATATTACAGGTCATGTTATGAAAAGTATATAAACTTAAGTAGAACTACTACAGGTGCAACTCTCTCATATGACAATAAATAAACGAGGCTTGTTTATAATTTAAAATATGCTAATTAGTTACCATGTGCATATTTTATATTAAAAAGTATATAGAATCCTCAGAAGACTCTTTTTTTTTTAAACATGATCCACAACTTTTTAGTATGCAATGGAGTGCTAACAGGAATCCCAAAACCCAGAAACTTCCGGTTTCATTAACCCAAAGTCAATGTCTTGACATAATGTCGGTGGTTAACACAAGCTCAAGATATTTTCACGCTTTATTCTACGAAATAAAGTGCATCAGTTATACCCCACTCGTAATTTTTTTTAAACTCTTTTACGGGTTGTGAAATTGTGAAAACTAATTTACTCATTAGTCCACTTTCACAGTCACGTGTTTATAATCACGCTCTTAAAAACTATTCTATCTCAACTTTCAGTGAGAATATAGAGTGAAAAAGCTTAGGGAGGATGACGTTGAAGTCATGTGACCGTAGTGTAGTTTGTTTTATAGCCTAACTATTATTTATATAGCCTAACAATTACCGCTCTATTAAAGCAACGGCCATCTTGAGCATCAAAATACATGACACATTTAATGGAGGTGGCCAATCACAGCCGTGGCCGTTTACTTGCATTTCTGAAAGATTTAATGCCTCTTGAAATGAAGTGTTTATGAGTGAAATAAATTTTCACAAATATTAAGGCATATTTATGCAAAAAACATATAAAGATCTGATAATGCATTTTATGACCCCCTTAAAGTTAGTTAAGAGACATGAGAAACTGCTTATGCTCCATACAAGATGTTAGTCACAATGGCAGATTAGCACCAGTGCCAACTGGAAAAGGTCATATAAAGTCATACACATTAAGTGTGTGAAAAACATGGTTGGATATTATTTTGTATGTTTTCTGTTTGCTATAGTTCAAGAGTCAATCTAACCAAAACCATTATTTTAGCATGCAGTACCTACCATTAACTCCTGGCCTGCTTTGCTTATTTATCCACACTGAAAGTGAAAATGCAGAGGCAATAATGTTCTGTTTGCATTGCATAAAATACTCGCCTGTCATGCCGGTAAGCTTACTAATTTTACTAGCACAGATTTATCTTGCATCTCCACCTTATTGGAGAAGACAGTGTCTTTATTTATAGTCATGAAAGGTGAATGAGTTGTGTACGTGTGAGGCAGACAGAGAGCAGAATATGTCGCTATATTACAGTAGACATGGAAAGAATCTTATGTTGAGCCGGTTAGGGGTCCCCCACACTCTTTCCATTCACAAACCTCATCCATGTGTACTTAACTTCTCGCAGCCCAATTGGCCGGTTCGTTGTTGCGCACTATACGCAACGTTTAAGAGTCTCCTAGCTCCGCATAGTTTTTCCTTACAGGGGTTTCACCATATTTTCTCTGAATGGCATGTTATTTATATCCTGCTGGATGACTACTACATCCATTAGCGATACTACTTCCCCTGACTGCTGGGCTTGAGTGTCGTTTTCGTAGTCACACGGACAGCTGCAGGACATGTGATCAAGCAACTGGTGACGGGTATTATATTTAGCCAGTGTTCATCGCATTCTCACTGGCCGAAAGGCCATGACTCCTGTTACAAAATGGACCTCTTCCACCTTGGCAGCAAACGCACAGATGCCACAAAGGTGATTGAAGCAGCGCATGACAGTTTGACATGTGATTCAGGCGTGTTATGATGCAGTAGGCGCCACACATTTCCAATGTATGGTGGAAATCGCTGTTCTGTGATTAATGCAACACGACGGAAAACACTGCAAAAATAACTTGTTTTCAGATAATAGATTTTGAAGGTTGCACTTTATTTTACAGTACGTGTACTTACATGCACTTACTGGGTAATGTAAGGTAACTACAGGGGTTAGGTGTAGGTGCAGGGTTATTACTAGTTATTACCCAGTTATTGTAATTACTGTAATGAGTACATAGTATGCACATGGGGAACAGGACTGTAAAATAAAGTGCTACCATATTGAATTAAGTTTATTTGTCATACCCCACTTGCACCTGACAATTTCTATATTTCCATATTTGTAAAGCAAGAAGAAAATGTTAGCAGGATTAAAATACAACTGCATTCAATATATATTCTCTGATATATATATATATATATATTTAATTGTTTTGTTTAACATGTCTGTACTGTATAAGCATGTACACTAATGGATTACTTGTATGCCTCATATTTGGCCAATAAAAATGTTTAAAGCACAGAATAGGTTAAAGTGAATGCAGGTCACCTCAGATCACCTTGTTACCTCATGCAGAGCGTTTGATCAAGGTGTGAGCTTCTCTTGCATTTATGCAAGTTGTGGCTGTCCATGGTTTAACCAATCTGCATTATGGTCACAACAGCCTTTAACAAAACCTTGAACCCTTTTACACATGTGGACATTGACATGAATGCAATGCATGCCGCCTTTAGCCTCTGCATTCAAGCACACGGTTCAGATGTCATCAGCTTGCATCTCTCAGCTCATCTGGTTTTATGAAATTGTAATTTTAGAAGACTGACCATGTTAGGTGAGGAGAATAGCCAAAATGGCAAAAACCATTTGATATTTGACTATGGTCAAGTGGTAGTGACTAATTTGTTTATGTAATTTTGATCACACTTTATATGTTCTTAACTACTATGTACTTACAACAACAACAACAAAAAAAAGTACTATGTACTTTTTGTGTTCATGTAGTATTGTGAAACACTTGAGGTGGGATATGGGTAAGGTTAGGGACAGGTTTGGTGGTATGGGTAGGTTTAAGGGTGGGTTAAGGTGTAAGTAAGGGAAGGGTCAACAGTGTAATTATAGAGAAATTAATTACAGCTATAATTACATGTAGAAATTTTTTGTAAATATAAGTACAATGTAAAATCATGTATGTACACAATAAGTGCATTGTATCAAATGATTAGTTTAAATGTTAGTGCATGGTAGTTAAAGACACCTAATATAAAGTGGGACCCACTTTTTTGTCGTGCTGCCAGCCGGCAGTGATTAATGAACATTGATGTTTCCTAGAAGTGTTACGCATGCTTCAGGAGTGATCTCTGATTTTGGATTGAACATTTGTCCTGAAGTGGACAGATGTTATTCCTGCACTCCATAGAAATGTCATACAGGCGTCTATGCTCAACATCGACTCGTCTCTTTTAGATTTGCATGTTAAAATGAGGCATATGTTATTCAAATGTAGTTATGTGTGTGCCAAAGTACTCATACTCTGAAATTCAATATATACAGTTGTAGTCAGAATGAATGGCACCCCTGGTAATTATGATAAAAAATAAATCTGCATAGTTTATCCAAATTTTCCCAAAATATCCTTTCATTCAAAAAAATTGCAAAAAATAAAAGAAATTGAAAGTGGGGGGGGAAATCACATTATGAAATAAATGTTTTTCTCCAAAACACATTGGCCACAATTATTGGCACCCCTAGAATTTTTTATGAGTTATATATCTCTGAAGTATATTCCTATTAATATTTACCTTTTTTTTTTTAGCACACCAGGGTGACTAGGAACATGAAATTGCCTAGCTATGACGACTTGTTTCACAGCAGTTTAAATATGAGGAAACGCAAAGGCCAAATTCCCTTATTCATCCATCACAATTAGCAAAACCAAAGAATATAGTTCTGATGTGCAGCAAAAGACTGTTGAGCATCACAAAATAGAAAGTAGCTGTAAGAAAATAGCTAAACAATTGAAAATCCCCATTTTGACCATCAGAGCAATAGTTAAGAAGTTCCAATCAACTAAAGCTGTTACGAATCTGCCAGGAAGAGGACGTGTGTCTATACTGTCTTAAAGGGATAGTTCACCCAAAAATGAAAATTCTGTCAGTAATTACTCACCCTCATGTTGTTCCAACCCCGTAAGACTTTCGTTCATCTTTGGAACACAAATTAAGATATTTTTGATTAAATCTGAGAGCTGGATCACTCCTCCATAGGCTTTTTAAGGGATCGAAACTGGCCGACCCAAAAGTTACGAAAGACATCGTTAAAATAGTCCGAGTGACTACAGTGGCTCAATCTTAAGTTTATCACGGGACGAGAACTTTTTGTATGCAAAAAACAAACAAAAATAACTTTATTCAACTATTCATTTCCTTCTCTGTGGGCCGTGATATTTCACGTAGTGATATTGCGCAAAGCTTCTGTGTTGCACGTCACACACACGCTCACTATTGGCCGACGCTGGTCATGTGTGTGATGCGTGACGTACAACCTAGAAGCTTTGCGTAGTTTCACTAAGTGAAATATCACGGCCCACAGAGAAGGAAATGAATAGTTGAATAAAGTCGTTATTTTTGTTTGTTTTTTGCGCACAAAAAGTATTCTCGTCGTTTGATAAACTTAAGATTGAGCCGCTGTAGTCACTCGGACTAATTTAACGATGTCTTTCATAACTTTTGGGCCGGCCAGTTTCGATCCCTTAAGAAGCCTATGGAGGAGTGATCCAGCTCTCAGATTTAATCAAAAATATCTTCATTTGTGTTCCGAAAATGAACGAACGTCTTACGGGTTTGGAACAACATGAGGGTGAGTAATTACTGACAGAATTATCATTTTTGGGTGAACTATCCCTTTAATGCACAGTGAGGAGGAGAGTTTGAGTGGCCAAAGACTCTTCAAGGATCACAGATGGAGAATTACAGAGATTAGTTGAGTCTTGGGGTCAGAAGTCTACCAAAAAAAAAATCAAACAACCCCTACATCGCCACATGTTGTTTGGGAGGGTTTCAAGAAAAATCCTCCTCGCTCATCCAAGAACAAACTCCAGCAAATTCAGTTGTCAGACACGACTGGATCTTCAGACGGCACAGGGTTCTGTGGTCAGAAGATGAAACTAAAAAAAGAGCTTTTTGGCAGCCAACACGCTAGATGTGTTTGGTGCACACAAGGATAAAAAGTACCCATTGTGTACAATTTAATATACCGTTGGATCTTTAATGTTGTGGGCATACTTTTCTGGACATCTTGTTCAGATACATGGCATCGTGGATTCTATCAAATATCAACAGATAAAAAATCAAAACCTGACGCCTTCTGCTAGAAATCTTATAATGGGCCGTGGTTGGATCTTCCATCAGGACAACCATCCAAAATAAACATCAAAATCAACACAAAAATGTGTTACGGAGCACAAAATGAAGCCGTCCCAGTTCCCTGACCTGATGAGTGGAGTGATCTGAAGAGAAGCACCATGGATCTGGGAATCTGCAGGATCTGGAGGAATGGTCTCTGATCTCTTGTCAGGTGTTCTCCAAACTCATCAGGCATTATAGAAGAAAACTCAGAGCTGTTATCTTGGCAAAAGGAGATTGCAAAAAGTATTTAAATAATTGTGGCCAATGTGTTTTGGAGAAAAACATTTATTTCATAATGTGAATCCCCCCCCCCCCCCCCCCCCCACCCACACACTCTTTTTTGAATTCTTTTACTTCAATGAAAGGTTAGATTTTTGCAAATTTTTTGAATGAAAGATCACAAGGATAAACAATGCAGATTTATTTTTACAGCCATTTTTGGTCATATTTACCGGGGGTGTCATTAATTCTGACCACAACTGTATATATTACAGTTATTACAGTATAAAGTATTTTAGAGAAAAAAAAATCTGAAGTAAATTCTATACAAACGTTCTACATGAAATGCCTTATACGAGGCTTATAGAGTGTTTAATATTTAATCCATGTTTAATAACATAAAGGTCTGGTTTCACAGACAGGGTTTAGATTAAGCCAGGATTAGGCCTTTGTTCAATTAGGGCATTTAAGCAGCTTTTATAAACATGCCTTAAAAAAAACATAACTGATGTGCATCATGAAACAAAACAATGGCACTGACATATTTTAAGATATATCAGTTGCTTTCAGTTAAAACAGCTCAAACATGCATTTTAATCTGGGACTAGTTTTTTCACTTCTCTGTGAAACCGGGGGAAAGTAGTACTTGTAAACCAAAGGATTGCTATGCTGTTGATAGGGCCTTTTGGATAGTTGCTATGTGGTCAAAAGGAAGCACTCAGCCCTAAATCTGTATGATATTCTGGTCTCTAGATATGCCAAAGGTCCATATCTGGGATTTTTATTTTTTTCTGGCAAGTGAAAATTATGCTAAACAAGCCCCAAATCTTAAGGAATCATTCATGTCCAAGCACAAATGTGTGGAACGAGTTACGCAATGAAGTTCAATGTTTAGATTTGGGGGTTTGTTCAAATAATAGTAATAGAGATTCTTGACTTTGCAAGCACTACTAATTATGCCAAAAAAATCTGTCAGTGCAATGCAGTGTAGGCTGCAGCGGTGAGGCGTAATGATCAGATACACAATGACTGTTTAGTAAATCCACTTGTGTCTGAGTTGATGTTGTTGTTTTCCCTCCAGGCTGTTGAGACGTCTGGCCACACTGCTGTCTCAGCAGGCTACACTGATGGCCTCTAATGAAGCCTTTAAAAAGCAGGCGGAGGGAGCAAACGATGCTGCGAAGAAGTACATGGAGGAAAATGAGAAACTGCAGGAGGTGAGAGAGAGAGAGAGAGAGAGAGTTGTGTATGGCAGTGCCGGTCCACTAAAGCTTTTTCATGACGCCAAAGGCTTCCAAGCTGTTGTGACTTTTACCTGGTATCTGGTTAATGACCAATGGTGTGACTACAGGAAGTGTGGCCAGGATGAATGTGCTATATAAAGGAACTGTTCACCCAAAAATAAAAATTCTGTTATCGTTTACTCATCCTCATGTGGTTGTCTATGACTACATTTCTATGACTAACACAAAAGAAGTTGGTAAGATGCTCTAGTCCTTCAATTCAAAAAAGAAACATTGAAGTGAGTGACTAAATGATGACAGAATTGTAATTTTGAGATGAATTGTTCCTTTAATGACTGCTAATCTGTTTGTGCTTTATTTAAAATTCCACATGCACTTCATTAGAAATGATATGATGCTCTCATGTGTCACTCTGGTTTGTTAGGTGTTATCCATCTCTCAGTCCTCAGAGACACTGTCAATATCGAGATCATAGTGCTGCAGACTTTGCACTTTCCTCTAGATGGCAGTGTTTCACATTATGTCTAGAATTAGAATCAGAATTTCTGTTTTCTGCATTTGAATATATTTTAAAATATAATTTATTCCTATGGTGGCAAATCTTAAGCTGATTTTTGAATGTGTCCATGAAGTAAAGTATTAATTTCTGACCCACAAATTTTAAATAGCAGTGTATATTTACCTCTGTATGTATTTATGGTCAGAATAGATGTTATAAAAATATTTAAAAATATATTTAGGAAATATAAGAAATAGGATATATATACTCACTCACCCTACTTAAAGATATTATCAACTATGACTTCTTCACTAGTAAAGTCAAAATATTATATATATATATATGTGTATGTATATATATATATATATATATATATATATATATATATATATGTGTGTGTGTGTGTGTGTATATATATATATATATATATGAAAATATTTTGACTTTAGTGAAGAAGTCATAGTTGATAACATTTTTAATTAGGGTTTGGTTTAGTGGTTTAGTAGCTGAAAGGTTATAGGTGAGGATGAGCTTTCACCATTGTGCCCTTGAGGCACTTAAACTCATTTGCGTCTGACGGACTTCCAGGGAAATTCAAGGGAGCTGCCAACCAATTTGTATAGTTAACATCTGTAAAATAACTAGCAGCACAAACAATGTAGAGGGGAACAGTTCATTAGATCACTTCCACATTGGCTGGCCTTTTCTAATTCAGTGGAAGGAGAAAGTGCCGAGTGTTATTCTGTGTCTTTAGGGTAGAATATATATGACGTTCAGACGCCACATAAAACAGCACACTGTCAGAGAACCACCGATGACACTCGTTTGCTCGTGGCAGCTTTGACATCATCAAACTTTGTCATGGCTGCATTTCAATAACTAATCATTCTTATAGCACTGTATTAATATTTCTCGAGCATTGTGGGGTTTGTTCTAAATCTCTTAACCTGAGTATTAAGCTTCTGTTGGTAATTCAGCCTGAGTTGGTTAACAGGCTCAGTTCACGCTTTGTTTGGTAGACAATTACAGTAGTGCATATTCTGCAATAAGTAGATTTGTAAGTGTTAGACTTTTAAGTAGATTTAAGTTTGAAAATTTACCATTAGCCTTCATTGCACGTTTAACAGTGTTATTATAGTTTTGAATTATTAATTTAATTATTATTTCTGTTTTTATTTCCAGTTTAGTTTTCTCTATAATTATTAGTTTAGGTTTTCTTTTAATTTGTTAGACTTGATTTAGTTTTATTTAGTTTTAGTTTTAGGAATGCCAAAGTTAATTCACTAACTAGGATCATTTAAAAACAAAAATTAACAGCGTTACATTTCTCAGCAGAGTCTAGTTATTGTTATCTCGTGGCATGTTTCATGCATGCAATTATTATTAGTTGTATTATTTATATACTATTATAAGTATTTATTAATATTTTATATTAATATATTAAAATTAATATTAAAATTTGTTATTTGCTTTTGTCATTTTTAGTAGTTTTGTGTTTTTAAAAATTAATTCTATATAGCTTTAATATTTATTTCAGTTAGTTGTTAAGTCATTTCTAATTATTGTTTAATATTTTTTAAGTTCTAATATTTCACCTGCATTGGTCTTCCTTGCATATTTAGCCACTTTTACACTTCAGTATGTCCATGCCTTTTGATTCTTGTAGCCAAGAGAAACAAACACATGCACTGACGGTCACAACAATGGCAAAACAGCAGTTGGAATGTGGTATGCCATTTGCAAACACTGCTATTTCCTGGATATGCATGTCCAGTTAGTTATTAAAGCCCTAGATACAGTGATCACATGCTGTGTTATTGTCTTTAGCACATGTAGTTTGTTAGTATGTAGATGCCTGAGCGTGGAGAATGCTGGGATAGATCAGCACCGCACGGCTCAGTTACAGTGCTGACGTGCAGTAGGTCACCGCTTTCATCTTTGCATGCAGAAGCATGGAACACGTGAGTTATCATCATACACATGGACAAATGCATACTACCATGTTATAACACCACAGAGCGCACCATAAACAAGAGCACAAGCCATACCGAATGACAGATGATGGAATATTTCAATTTAGTAAATGAAGTTTGACTCTAGCAGAATGAGGCCTGTAAATCTCATTGTGTTTTCGAAGTGTCTGGGCAGGATGCGTGTCCTTGAACAGGGTCAGATGACCTGACCGGGCTCTGTGATCCATTTTGCTGCGGTTATTATTGTTTGACGCGAGTGCATAAGCCATGTGTAAATGCTAATGGGAAGAGGTGAGAACAGCACGTGACCCCCTAAAGGTCCTGTATTGATCTCTGATCTCTGTCCAGGGTCAATCCATCCTCCATCACTGTCCCCAAGCAGGTGTTAAAGCACTCTCACATTTAATCAAGTGAGAATAAGATCATGAATTTTGCATGATTCTGCTTCATAAAATGAAGTTATATTGCAGCTATTAGTTACGTGAAGTAGTTTTGTAATATTCATAATCCAATTAGCCAAGACGACTCCTTCGGTAATAAAGCACTGATCATTTTCATGAGGGTTTGGGGGTTGGAATGGATCATATTCTACACTTTGTGCATTTTACTTTTTAGCAAATCCAGTTATGTTAAAGCAACACTAAGTAAGATTTTTTAACCTTAAAATAATGTTTTCAAAATCATTTCAGTGGTTCATCAAGTCGTGACATGGTGAAATGCACTTATGCCACTGCTTTGCGGTCCTTTATCTGATTTATCCACGCTATGTAAGATTGCCAGATCGGGTCGCGTTTCTGTAGTCCGAATGAGACATAAGAAAACTACAAATTTGACTTGCTGTACGGCAAGCGTTACAATTGCCGATAGGTGGAGCGTACTCGACAGTAGACTACAACTACATGCAAGATACCTAGCAGCCGGGTAGCTTTTGAATTGTCATCATGATTCCAAAGCCGGTGCTGGATAAACATTGAGCATGTGCGTGTGTGTGCGACCGTAGGATGCGGTAGGCTAAATTATTTACGACAGTTCCGCTTCCAACCTGTGATGACCGCAGAGGAAAAGTTACTTGGTGTTGCTTTAATCAAGGTTTTAAGGGCACTGTATATACGAACAGCTTGTTAACGAAACTTAAAAAATTAGACCTTCCTCAACCTCCTAGTTTGTCTATGAAAGTCCATAAACTGATTTTTTGCCTGAAAGTGCGAACACGAGCAATGAGTTGCTGACTGCAGTGCACTTAATGGCCACCGGTGTCGCTAATTTCCTAGATTTAGGGGTCAACACAGCTTGCACCTTACACCATTCTCCTCTACGTCCAATTTAAGTGTTGTCTTTTCAGCTTCGTGTTTGTACCTCAGTTGTATTTCAACTTCCTTTTAATATATCTGCAGGAAACGTCTTCAAATACATCTGACCCAGATTTAGTTGTTCCCAGGGGCCAGAAAACAACTTTCTCCTGTGCGACATGATTTAAAACACTCCCCTGGGTTTGTACCCTTGTCCAGCTCACTTTACAAGGGGTCATTTCCGAATGTCCACGTGCCATGGGCTGCAAAACTTGAGTGGTTTAGCATTAAAATATTCACTCAGTCAGGTTTTAATGGTTTGTGGAACATGTACAGAGACTCATTTCACATATGAGAAACTTTCATGACATTCTTACAAGAATGCTCCTCGTGGCATTATGTGTTAATTTGTAAGCGGAACAAGAGTACAGCATGTCTGTAAGCAGACTTGAGTAAGCTTTGACTATTATTGAAGTTTCAGACAGTTCATGTTTATTATTGACCTCTTGAAATCAAATTTCAGTTTTGTGGTGTTTAGTCAAAGTAAAATTTTAGCAGATATATACATTTAGCATTTACACTTTCTCTTCCTTGGAGAACAGAAATATTGACGACGTCTTGGGACTTGCTATTTTTGTCAAAATGTGCAGTATATGACACGTGGCTGTATCCCACAATGCAGTGCACTCATCTTGACCTTTTCCAACTGATTTCCACTGCAAACCAGAATATCTGCTGTGATGTCCTTGTTTCCTTACTTTTTGTATGAGATGATAATAGGATGCTACTTGCTAAATTAAACATGCGAAGTGGTGAGGTCATGTGATACATTTGCATATTGCATACTCTTTTACTGTTTAAATAAAAATAGTATTTAAGTGTGCACTGTGCAGTGTGCAGTAAGCTGGCCACTATTATTAAAGTCCAAACTTACCTACTGGCTCTATCAATAAAATAATCAATAAAACAAACAAGAAAAATCTCTAAATATTTGAAGCCAAGGCCTACCATTTAGTATACACGCTTTAAAAAAAAAGCTGTTGTGTACTATTGGTAGATAATTAGCATAAAGTTATTTTATTACTAGTATTTAAATTCGATTTTGCTGTTAGAGTGTATTGTATTTAACTGCTTATGTTGTTTGATTTGATCGGACCATTTATTCTGTAGCTTTCTGGTGTTTTGAGTCTACAGGCTAAAATCTTTCTAGAGAATGTTTTCTGTTTGTAGCAGGAATGGCAGGTCAGATGTGAACGGCAACATATGATGGTTACTCACTAACTGAATCTCCTAAGATGATGACACAGATGGAGATCATTTATAAACCTAATTTTAACAATCCATGGAAAATAGAGCACTTGTTCTCTCCGTAACTTATGTTAATGAATGGCCTGTGAAACTGTCATTTGTCCCATTAAAAGTTGAGCCAAGAGGACAGATGATTGGGTTTTCTGTGAAATGTTTTCCAAGTCTTACAGCTAAATTCCTGTCCTTATGTTTATCTGAAAACATCAGAAAACGGGTTGCAACCCATCCTGAAAATGCAGTATGGAACTTGCAAATTGCACAATATACCGTGCATTACCAAATGAAACAGGTTTGATTATGACAGCATTCGCACAGGAGGAATCTTTTCATAGTTCCTAGAACTAATGGCGGAAGTACCCGGTTTTTGGTGTGTTCGCACGGCAGGAACTGGGAACGATTTTAGTTTCTAGGGACGGCTTTTGGGCATGCACCGTCTAACCCAGCACAATAGGAACTACCAGTAACGTGACTGTACGCTGATTGGCCAAACGCACGCGTAATGGGCATGCACCATTTTTTTTAAAAGCTGCTGTGTACACACAGATTATAACCTATTTATTTACTCCACGAACTAACTCTACAAACATGGGGAAAAAATGATAGATGGACCTCTCAACCTTTATGCTGAGGAGAAAATCCAACGCAACTTTGAGGAGACCAAGCGAAACATCATTGTATTTCTGCTCAGTTAGCGACATTGGCCATCAACCACACGGAAAACGCTAATACTTTTTCATAAGCCGTTTACTTTATATAATAGTTCTATTTGTAACGTATTAGACAGGACTGTTAAACAGATCATAATCTAATGAAGACTGCGAATGGGAGCACTGTGTGTTCAGGCTCTGGCATTCTCAGTGCCGTCAAAATAAAAGTCACAACAACAATCGCTGCGGTCACACTACAAGCGACTTTGTCGCTGTCGCCGGTGGCTGGCGGTGAGGTCGCTAGTGGGGGTTCCCACTACTGGTTGCCTAGTAATGTTTGTGAGTGACATTCATGGATGGTACTCAATGTTGTAGAACAAATCCATTTTCTTGCCGCTAAAACCAAACATTTAGGAAGGAAAAGTCTAAATGGAATCAGTACATAAAATGCATAATATTAAAGATGAACAAGAAACAGCGAGTGCTCTTTGCCATCGCAGCAAACGGCAAATGTCGGCCTATCTGGGTTCACGAAACCATTCAGGCTTGGAGTCAGCACGGCGAGTACCACCGTATGAGACATACATTATAGGACAGTTTCTGACTGCTAAAATTAGGTTTTCATTCATCTTGCCTCGGTCGGACTCGGCACTGAAGAGTGACGGATCACGCGCGCTCCACTGATCCTATACGCTGATTTCACGCAGCCGCCATTTTGAAATCGAAAGCGAGGCTCCGGTGGGAAGAACCCCGGAAGTACAGATAAACAACAATGCCTTGGACTACCAACCTGAAGCTGCTGCCGCGATTTACACTATTGGATGTTAATATCCAATATAGGATGTATATAGTTCGTTCCTGCTTCTTTTTTTACGTTCTGAATTATATCTAAAAAAAAATAATTTTATTTATAAATGAATTTCACTGTATATAGTCTAAAGTATGAAAGAAATGTATGTACATTTTTAGAATAACTAATTTCTACATTAAACACAACAATACGCCATCGCATTCGCGACTCTCCTATGATTAAAGGCGGCACTTCCGGTTTTCTTCCCACCGAAGCCATTTCAAAATGGCGGCTGTGTGAAATCAGCGAATTGGGTGTAATTTGCATAAAGTTAAAAACAGATCTCAACCAGAGCCCGTCTAACGGAGAGCCTTGGCACTTCCTATTAGCCCCATTGTGTATCATATTGGTTATAGTTCCATTAGAATTCCACTGGAGGTGATCGCGGGCGAGTGCAGAATGAATGGGAGTCTATGGAGCTAGACGGCTAAATGTATCTCTTTCTCCTGCTTGTTGTTGAATCAACAGATTTTATTGTTGACTCCGCAAGTTCAATATAGATTATAGGCCAAAAGTCGAATGAACTTATGTCCTTTCGATTTCTTACAGGTTAGGCCGTTGCTGGCCGGAACACGCTAGCATTCTGCTATTATGTGACGTCATCACATTTTTGAACGAATTTTTAGAACAGATAAGTGAACTTAAAAATGCAATTTTTCAGCTGAGTGTATTATCTTAGCCCTCCCTTTTGAATGCAACTTTCAAATTACTTGACAAAAAATTACATCCTGAGAAAAGTGGATTTCTGGGGGTGAAACCCCATAGACTCCCATTCATTCTGCACTCGCCTGCGAGCGCCCCCGCATGGACAGAGACGTGTTACTGCAGCCAGTCCAGAAACCGGAAGTAACCAGACAGACATTCTCTCGGTCTCAACCAAGGGGTAGTCTCGCGTTGCCAGACCTTCAGACTAACGACTGAAGGTCTGGAATTCATAGCAGCTTTCTTTGGCCAAGGCCCGCCCATAAGGCCGTTTGACCGACATGTAAAACAACCAATTACAGTTCGTTTCGTTCAGCGTCACGTTTCGGGGCGTGGGTATGTCCCCACAACAACAGACCAGCGTGCAACAATTTAGTCAGCATAGAAAATCAAAGAAGGAGAAGAAAACTTCAAGAGTCTATACCGTGAACCTCGCATACTTTTGAGAATCCTACGTTTAGCTGATCTTGATAAATGCTCATTGTCACTCATGTAAACACAACAGTTTTTCTTCCGCATTCACACATCTGCGTTTTGTTTCCCGGCGGACCGAAAATAAACGCGACACTCGCGCCCCCCGGAAATCCGATAAAATTCAACCAATCAGATGACGACTTCGACATTCCTGAAGTGTTTCCAGTTAAGTGTACCATATGCATTAGACGTATAGCCAACGTTCCGTGGGCGTGATGTCTGAGGCTGAGACTAACCAAGGGGGTAATCCATCAGCCGGAAGTTGAAGCTGCCTCCGGGGGCCGCCATTGTAGCTGGCTATCACCTGCTGTTAGCATCCCATTGACTCCCATTCATTTTGGCGTCACTTTGACAGTGAATAACTTTACATCTGAGGCGTCCAAAGACTCCATTTGTCCATTATTTATTTCTAAAGAAACACGACAATGTATAAAAGGCTCCATTACTTTGTATCTTACGTTATGGCCCCGTAGAAGCCATTCTTGTAAAAATAGGCTAACGATTGCGTCATAACCACTGGACGCTCTGTCGCACAGTAGAGAAATTACCGTACAGACAGAAGTAGAAGCTCGTAGGCAATCGTTTACTGTCTATGAGGCAATCGAGTGGACATGGAGGCATAAAGTCAAGGGAGAAGCCCATAGATAGAGAGTTCATAAAAGCAACGGGACAAAATATTTCAACAACAGATTTGTTTCAGATTTCAATTCAGATTTGTCCCGGCACAGCTACTAGAAGGTCAGAACGGTTGCTCACGTGACAACTACGTCGTCAAGCTCAGTTTGAGCCTGCGCAGAACGCTTGGCTATCAGGAAGTGAGTGCCCATGTTGGGCTTCAACTCCCTCCGTTGAAATCATCTGTGTGTGCTGTGTGTGTCCATTTCTATTACTGTCTATGGTCTCAACCAAAGCCCATCATTCTCTGTCTCAACTTTATCGCGTCGCCGGACACGCCCCATCCGGTCGCCAACGATCACTGTTGCTCGTGTCGCTGGAAATCGCCCGCCCTCCGCTTTGTCGCTTGTGGTGTGAACGCAGCGTTACTTTGCTTCAGAGTTCCTACTGTGGGTGTGAATGCAACCAGAAAAAAGACATTTAGTTCTCTGGGAATCGCCCTGTCGGTTAGTTCCTAGAACTACCCATTGTGAAAGCCACTTGTGTTGACATGAACCGTTTCATCACAATCTACACCCTCGATATTGTCAGGGAACAATTATTGAGAAATAATTGAATATTACATGAGATGACTAACAGAAAGACTGACTGTTTTTCAACAGAAACTGCGGCAAGCGGGTGTTGAAGTGCCTGAAGTGGGTGGGAAGGCCAAGGGTGGTGTGGAGGAAGATAAGAAAAATCTGACAGAAGAGGTCAGGAAACTGAAGGATGAACTCGACGCAACCAAGAAAGGTAACGTTAGGCCTACTGAATGGTTCTGATTCACTCGTACACTGAACCGCTCTGTTAAGCCCACTGCTGTTTACATATGTAAAAAAAGAATTCTATATTAATGCATCAAGTCGCTTGGTGAGCATAAATGGCCTAAAGTTTGGCAAATTAACAAATTTCTTCATGGAGGTTGTTAGTATCAATATAATTATTTATCCATCAGGTTTTGTTTAGATCATGAAAGGCGGCCTGTGATGATATTGATTAAAAAAAAATTCCATTGTAAATGTCAACAGAAAAGTCACGTGTGTGTACATATATATTAAATATTATATAAACTCAAACTTTTATGTTAGATGCGATTTAATCGATTTGTCAGCACTAATTTGAATATATTTTTAAAATGTAATTTATTCCTGAGATGATATTTTCAGCATCATTACTTCAGTGTCACATGATCCTTCAGAAATCATTCTAATATGCTGATTTGCTGCTCAAGAAAAATATTTTCAATGTTGAAAACAGTTGTGTTGCTTAATATTTTTGTGGCCACTGATGCTTTTTTTTCAGGATTCTTTGATGAATAGAAAGTTCAAAGCATTTATAATAAGATTATTAATATCTTTACTGTCACTTTTGCTGAATTAAAGTATTAGTTTCTTTAAAAAAATATTTCTGACCTCAAACGGTAGCATAGTTGGCTTCAGTTTTGATTTCATGTTGCCCAATGTGGGTACAGAGTAAATCTAAATAATTCATAGTTTAGAAAAATTATTTGGCCCCTCTGGTGACCCTGCAGTGAGCAACACAAGATGACTGTAGCTGAACAAGACTCCTCCTCACTGAGGAATGAGCTTAGTAAGCTGGATTCCCATGCCTCCTTCCACATCTACACTGTATTTAGACAGTGCTTAGGCGTTCATGACCCTTTGATGACCTCCTAACGAGATCTCCATAGGGTGATGGGGTCATCTCGTGCCAAAGCACATTTTGAGGGTAGTGCACAAAAAGCTGTCAGAGAGCTTGCAATGAAGTCATTTTCTTAATTTAGTAATAGATTTCAGATCAACCCGCCTTTTAAATGTCATGTAAATAAAATGAATAGTGTTATACACTTCCATTCATTTGGGGTCAGTAAGATTGTTTTAAACAAATGAATCATTTTATTTATCAAGGATGCATTAAATTGATCAAATGTGACAGTAAAGACTTTTATGTTACAAAAGATTTCCATTTCAAATGAATGCTGTTCTTTAGAACTTTCTACTCATCAAAGAATCCTGATAAAAATCAATCAAGGTTTCCACAAATATATTAAGCAGAACAACATTGATAATAATAAGAAATGTTTCTTGAGCAGCCAATCAGCATATTAGAATGATTCATGAAGAATCATGTGATAAGTTATATTTTAAAATGAGTTCAAATAGAAAAGTTATTTTAAATTGTAATACTATTTCGCAGTAATACTGTTTTTACTGTATTTTTGATCAAATAAATGAGCCTTGTTGAGTCTAATAAATAAATGAGCCTTGTTGAGCCTACAGTACGTCTATCACATGGTCTCTTTTGCTCTAAGTGGGCAGTGTTTGCACAATGGACCAGACTTTCTGCTGAAAGTCAAAGGTCTGACTCTGTGATGCTAATGTAACCTGGTTGCGTGTGTGTAGCTCTTCAGAAGTCTGACAGTGATGTGAAGGCCATGAAGAAGCAGGCCGAGAACCTCACAACAGAGTACGACCGTCTGCTGGAGGAACACGCCAAACTGCAGGTCAGAGCTCACGCATGTCACACCTCGAACATCTTTCCCATCATAACTCTGCTGTCTACAAAGACTGCAGAGGCAGAACCCTAACTGAAGTGAAACCTGAAGTCACCTCAAGTGCATCTCAAGTATGTGAGTTTAGACGTGGCGAGTCTCTGGTTAAACATTTATTCTATTTCTTATTCTGAACCTCATTGGCATAAATCCCTTGCGAGTTTGAAGTCTAATTCATTGCTGTGAAAACCGTCATTTTCAATGAACCGTTTCATTTAAAGATGTTGTAAACCTGTATGAATTTCTTTCTTCTGTTGAACACAAAAGAAGATTATTTGAAGAATGTTTGTAACTAAACAGTTGATGGACCCCATTGACTTTCATAGTATTTTTTTTCCTACTATGGAAGTGAATGGGGAAACCTGAAAGTACTATGGAAACTTGAGGATGAGTAAATGACAGAAATCTCTTTCTTTTTTTTTTGGGTGATCCATCCCATTCCATTTTCATTCATTACCTTACTGTTTAGCGTTAAGGAAAACGAAAAATGTTGCCCAAGTTGATAGCTCATTATGATTTGGATTGCTACTTTTCTCAGCTAGCCTGGCAAGCCAGACCTACATCAAGATGTTAGGTCTGGGAACTCCCAATTGGCATACCTCAATCCGAGGGGCGGGATAAACGGTTGTCTTTCAAATTCCCTCTGCATGCAATAGGACAGCGCTACAACCAACCAGAGCAACGAACGGTTGTGGCTGAGTGAGTCCTGTGCGTTTTTCCACCAGCGGAGCTAGTCGATATATTAAACTTTTGCCGTATCCGATCGTCAAAACTCCGAACACATCTTCCTTTTTTAAGAATGACTTAAGTGACGTTCTCTTAACTCTAAATCATCCAGAGTCGCGGCCAAAGCCGATTCGAAAGACCGCTGTTCGCCAGCAGCGTCTTCTTTGTTTTCAAGTAGCAGGGAATTCAAATCACCTATGGAAATCACGCGGTGGAACCGTCACAACTCTGCCGTCATTATGCCCGCCCACCAACTCTATACACGATGTGATTGGCCTGACCAGAGTTTGGTTTTTCCAGCTCGAATGCCAACGGAGAGTTGCTAGACCACACTTTGCTCCAAAATACTTTTTGCTGCCGCTAGGGTGCGTCTAGATTTCTAGGCTATTTCTCAGCAGTGTCATCTTCTAATCTAAATCATCAGAACAGATAGAATAACCTGTTCCTGCAGCTCATGTAGCGTTCCTGTCATTCTGAGGCGAGGTCATGGGTCATTTCCAAGGACACGCACACTGATAAAATCTATGCCTTTTTGAAGATTTAAGGTGATAAAAGCATCTGAGAAATGAGTAAATGTAAACCTATCAAACCACATTGAATGTTCTGAGTTTCTGTTTCCCGTCTGCCCTGATTTGGCGAGACTTTTTTTTTTTTTTTTTGGCTGAAAGCAAATATTATAATGCAGCTAGTGAACACTAAAGCTTCTGTGGCATCTGTTTTTACTGGGCTTAAAGGTATAACACTATTTAAAGAATGGCTGACAAATATCACAGACTAAATCCCACTTCACATACTGTACGGTACTATCTGTCCTATATATTGTGCCAGATGCATTCAAAAGTTGACATGAGTTGACGTGTAGTTGCAAAGTTACTTCTAGTCAGCATCAAAATAAAGTGTTAGCAGATGTCAAGCAGACCGTCTAATACTCTAATGAGAGTTGCAAAGTTACTAATAGTTAGTAGAATGTCTAAAGTTGAGCATGGAAATAGTGTTGAAGTGTTAACAAAAAAATCTTACTGACCCCAAACTTTTGAATGGTAGAGTACGCAGATTGGGATTCAGCCAGAGCATATATTTTAAAGTTGAGAACAGAATGTCTAACTGGTTATGTTTACAAACCAGTTAGACATTCCCCCCCCCAAACTGTTCCCTGTAAATGAAATTTATGCATTTGCGTTCAGTTAGCGATTTATACATTCAAAGTAGCCATTTTATCAGTTCATGTATTCCCTGGGAATCAAATCCATGACCTGGCAAAGACTATGCTCAACCGTTAGAGCTACAGTAATGCTGTAATCTTACACTTACTGTATATTAAAGTGTGAGATCCATAGTCTTGGTAAAAGCAATCTCAGAGATATTTTAGGCATCACACACACACAACTGCGAGGCAGTGTATAGTGGCACCACTGGCACGTGTCCAGTTGGCGTCTGTTAGCATGTAGAGTGTGAACGCTACAGTGAAACCAGTTTAAAAGAAACTGATATCAGTATATTTAGTAAAGTTCGAAATTTCACACATGCTGTCATCAGTCTGTTACTAAAATGACATGTTGAGAGTCAGTTTTCACACACGAGCATATAGAACCATAGTTGCATTTCAACAATGTTTCTCAAAGGAATGATGTTTAATCTTTCTCATTTTGACCATTTATATGGACCAATGTATCAATACCTTAATAAACTATAATCTTTAGGCAAAATATATTTGCAAGTAAATATTGCAAAGCAAGTGAATTACACATGCTCTCCTCTCCACCTGAAAGCGGGTGTGTGGTGGGCGTTCACACTTTAATCACTCGAGCGAGGGAATCACTCCATTTTATTTCCCTGAAGTCCATCTGATATAGCTTTACCATAAATGCTTCTCACAATGAAAATAGCCTCAGAAGCTGGCATGGCGTTAAAAACAAACATACAAACAATTTCTCTGAAGTCTGCCCTTGTCAGCCGACTCCTGGAAACATTAATGTGACGGCCGTGGTCTCCTCAAGTGTGTGTATGTGAGACACAGAGGGTGGGAGTCTGATAGACAGGCTTCTCTGGTTCACACACACATCAGCTGCTCATAAGAGACTGAGACGCATGAGCACCTGCTGCAGTTATTACCGTTACACGCTCAGCAAACGGCAACCAGGTGCTTGATTTCATACACAGCACTGTAAAGCCCATCTCGTCATTTTCATTGCATGACATCACTGTAAAGGTGATGATACACAGGGCAACTTTTTGAGCAATGTTGCTGGGGAATCTTGCCGAGCGATTGTTGCTTGGGCACTTTCCTATCTTTCCCATTGTGTCTCATCTGGTTGCCCGTTGACGCCAACATTGCCCAGCAACATTGCTCAAAAAGTTGCCCTGTGTATCATCACCTTTAGATGAAATGTTTTTGGACATATATATATATATATATATATATACTACCGTTCAAAAGTTTGGGGTCAGTGAGAATTTTATTTTTATTTTTTGGAGGAAAGAAATCAATACTTTTATTTATCAAGGACAGTAAAGACATTTATAATGTTACAAAAGATTCTATTTCAAACAAATGCTGTTCTTTTGAACTTCCTATTCATCAAAGAATCCTAAAAAAACCCCCAAAAAACTGTACAACTGACGGACCAACAACTGTTTCAACATTGATAATAATAATAAATGTTTCTTGAGCATCAAATCCTCATATTATACTGATTTGTGAAGGATCATTTGACACTGAAGACACTGACACTGGTGATGCTGAAAATTCAGCTTTGATCACAGGAATAAATTACACTTTACTATATATTCACACAGAAAACAGCTGATTTACACTGGAATAATATTTAATACTATAACAGATTTTTGTTGTATTTTTAATCAAATAAGCGCAGCCATGGTTAGCAGAAGAGAATTCTTTTAAAAGTATTTAAAATCGTACCGACCCCAAACTTTTGAACGGTAGTGTATATAGTATGAGAGTTAAAAAATATTAAGATAAAAATTATATTTGCTAACTTTGACAGCCCTAAAAATACAATCTGAAAAATCTTTGCTTTTAAAGTTCACCATTCAAGAAATTTAAATCTGTTTTCTTATTTGAATAAATGAAATGCATATATTTGTGTATGAATGTGCTTGCGTATGGTAAGATTTTCACCATTTTTAATAACTCTTTTGCCTTTATTTTGAAAGGTCCTGTGGTGACCAATGAATTTTTACTCAAAAATAGTCCTCAATTAATACACACTTTTACAACCTACATGTATAAGGATTATTCAAAATTATGAAAATATAGTCTAATATGATTAAAGTATAGTCTAATGTTCTAAAATAAAGTATAGCATGACACTACTGAGATTTCTTGTCATGTCAGCCACTCAAAAGCACCAGCTAAATCTCACAGGATTATGCAAATCTCCGTCAGTTGGAGATGTTCATCTTTCTGCTCTGTCTCTGAACGCAGGCCAAATGTGACGCTCAACAGGACAAGAAGTCAGACTGAACGAAGACCATCATGCACCTGCTCTCTTTCCTGCATCCTCATTGGCTGATAGCAGCTCAGCTGGGCTGCGCATCACTCCTCTGGCTGTGTAAGAACAGGCTTCCGTTCGTCATTAATGTGCTTTCCATGTGATTCTTTAAAGTCTGTGCAGGGTTTTCATTTTTTTTTCTTTCGTTTTTGCTGTGAACTTTGAACTGGTGTTTAATTTTTATTTCCAAAGTTGTGGTTATAAAATGTCAGTTTAGAATTGAATATCTGCTGACATGAATATTACATTTAATTTCTTGATTTCACAGTTTGTATGTCAGGTACATTGAGCCTCATCCACGAAACGCAAGCAGGGTGAATTTCTGTGGTTAAATGTCTCTTACGTAAATTGTCACATTGAATTAAAATCAATGTTTTACATAAGCATGATTTTACAGTTTACACAAATGCATTCAGCTTGGGATTCATACATGAGGCCCTTTTGTTTCCATAAAAGGACCAAGAAACACTTTAGATATTCTAGCTGAGATGTTTTCAATCTGATAAGTTTTGGGATTCAAACTTTAATTGTCTGCATTTTAGTGAACTGTTTTTCTTGCCATATGGGGGAAAGCTTCGATCTTTCCTTTGAATATGGAGATTTGGTTTCAGTACAGATGCATGTCTTGGTTAATTTTAGATCTTTGATTTATAGGCTACCCAACACTTTACACCCAATATGCACTTAAGAAAGAAAATCCCTCCAGTTTACGATCCACGAGCCTCGTGCTTCATGCTAAAGGAAGATATTTTTGTTTTGGTTTTTTTGTCCTGGGTGTGGGATAGCTCCTTTTTTTTCTTTCTGGGCTATTGTAGAACAGAACGAGTAAACTGCTTCTTTCCAGTCCTGTCTGGTTTGAGGCCACTGAGTCGGGATAATCTGATATGAGCCTGGCAGGGCTGTTACAGTGGGTAAGAATGCCACTTTGGCAGGAACAGTAAAGCATCCGCAGCTGATATTGTGTTTCAAAACATGGCGCGCTCTATCTCTGGTCTTCTTGGTATTGAAATGATATTAATGTCACATTTGAGGGCCACGCAGTAGTTTTGCAATTAACATGCAGGTAACGTTTGCCATCGCTAAAGGTCACCGTGTTCGCTCTGGTTGTCTTGCAGTTCAAACGTCCTGGGTTTCTTCGGGTCTCGTCCGGCATGTGCAAGCAAATATCTTTGCAATCTTAGAGCGGTGTGACCTGAAAAAGGAATCAACCGGAATGACATCATAGCCGTGTTAAAATAGGGATCTGTGGGAGCAACATTAGTACTTTTTTGGGCTCCCAGAGGAAAGGGCATCGGGTGCACTGGCAAAGTGTCGGATAATTCATAGTCAAGACCTCCTGGACTGTTACCAGTCGTAAGAACACGAGGAACGCCATCTGCTACCATGGCACTCGTTTACTATTTTATTCGCTCAACGATCGGTTAGATTAGTGAAAAGTTAACCAGAGCCCCAAGTTCAGTGAAAATGTCAAGCGTATACCTGAAGATCGTGCATTTGGACACACGTGCTTTGGCTGTCATGTCATATTGTGTCATTTTCAAAACCGTAAATAAACGAATGAACTGTATGCTACTGTTAAACTGGCTCTTTCTTTATATGCATTCCTAATTGTAGCTTCTTTCTTATATCATGTTTTTAACTGTGATTTGCAAAAAAAAGAAAAAAAACATGCACTGTTGTGTTGGTAATGACAGAATACTTGCCCTTCATGGAACATGTTGCGTAGTTTTGATAGCGATATCTGCCTTGAATATCTTCAGGAAAGTTTCGTCAATCTGCATCACTTCACTATAACATTTGTGTATTTATGTGTTCTGGTGATGTGCTGTAGTTGGGATATTGATCAACCAAACCAAATAAATTCTACTTTGTTCATCTTGACTTGATTGAGTCTGCAGTTATTTTTATTCTTTTTAATGTTTGTTTGAACTATTTTAATAAAGCCTATAAAACCTGTCATCTTTCAAATTTACCATAAAAGTGATGCATATGATTTGTGCACTTTTGCAAACGGAATCAAATGATTCATTAAGAAAATTCAACTATTAGATTTCCCCCCGTTCCGTTCTTCGTATCTACCATGTGACTTCAGAAGACTTGGAATATTAGATTTTATTTTTTATTTTTGTGGGGGTTTTGTGTCAAACCTTTAGTCCTTATTCATTGTAATCGCGTTGAAAAAAACGACTAATATGCCATTCCTAAATCCTGTCACGGAGGAAAAAGTTGACGTGTTTGAAACGACATTTCTCGGGCGAGTAAACGACTGCGAACTACCGTATATACCCGAATATAAGACGACCCTGAAAATAAGACGACCCCCCCATTTTCCAGACTTATTTTGGGGGGAAAATAGATTTTTGTGAAAAAAATCTGGTTTTCAACAGAAAATAATTTTAAGAGCAAATTTCCGAGGCGTTGTTCCAAATGCCTCGCATCACCTGTGCCTCGTGTAGAGGCACATATGCGCTTCCTGATTGGCCAAGGGGGTAATCCACCAGCCGGAAACTGAAGTCTCCCCGGGCGCCGCCATTGGCTAACAAGCCTTCACCTGCTGTTAGCATCCCATTGACTCCCATTCATTTTTGCGTCACTTTGACAGCGAATAACTTTACATCTGAGGCGTTTAAAGACTCCATTTGTCCATTGTTTATTTCTAAAGAAACACGACAATGTATAAAAGGCTCCATTACCTTGTATCTTCCGTTATGGCCCCGTAGAAGCCGTTTTTGTAAAAATAGGCTAACGATTGCGTCATAACACACGACTCTCTGTCGCATAGAAGAGAAATGACCGTAAAGACAAGCAGAAGCTCGCGCACAATCGGGGGACGTGGAGGCATAAAGTCAAGGGAGAAGCCCATAGAGTGTCATAAAGTTGCTCCTGCTGCTAGCTCATGGACAGCTAATACTCACGAACTCCGGCTCTGCAAGATTCGGAAGGGAATGATTCAGATTCCTCTTGGCACAGCTACTAGAAGACGTACAAGTTGCTCACGTCACATCTACGTCGTCAAGCTCAGTGTGAGCCTGCGCAGTGCACTTGGCAATCAGGAAGTGAGTGCTTCTAATTGACTTCATTTTTCTCCGTTGAAGTCTATGGGGTCGCTGTGTCCATTTCTTTTACTGTCTATGTGATTGGCCATGACTGCGGCTGCCCTGAGTGCGACGGGATGGATTTAACCACCCTGCGGGGTCGTCTGGCCGTTTTCGACGACGATCCGGCTCCCGCTCTCTCTCTCTCTCTCCCTCTGCTCGAGCCCATAGACAGTAAAAGAAATGGACACAGCGACCCCATAGACTTCAACGGAGAAAAGTGAAGTCAATTAGAAGCACTCACTTCCTGATTGCCAAGTGCACTGCGCAGGCTCACACTGAGCTTGACGACGTAGATGTGACGTGAGCAACTTGTACGTCTTCTAGTAGCTGTGCCAAGAGGAATCTGAATCATTCCCTTCCGAATCTTGCAAAGACGGAGATCGTGAGTATTAGCTGTTCATGAGCTCGCAGCAGGAGTAACTTTATGACACTCTATGGGCTTCTCCCTTGACTTTATGCCTCCACGTCCCCCGATTGTGACTGAGCTTCTACTTCTGTCTATACGGTAACTTCTCTACTGTGCGACAGAGAGTCGCGTGTTATGACGCAATCGTTAGCCTATTTTTACAAAAACGGCTTCTACGGGGCCATAACGGAAGATACAAGGTAATGGAGCCTTTTATATATTGTCGTGTTTCTTTAGAAATAAATAATGGACAAATGGAGTCTTTAAACGCCTCAGATGTAAAGTTATTCGCTGTCAAAGTGACGCAAAAATGAATGGGAGTCAATGGGATGCTAACAGCAGGTGAAGGCTTGTTAGCCAATGGCGGCGCCCGGGGAGACTTCAGTTTCCGGCTGGTGGATTACCCCCTTGCTCGAGCCGCGCAAGAAAAAGCGCCGTTCACAGAGGATGCCAAAGCGGACAGAGACAAGCGAGCAGAGACCCGCCCCCCTGTTCACATATCGCGTCTTTTGCGCGCTCAAGTTCGTTATTTCAAATGTAGGCGGTAGAGTGCGGATCGGGCCGCATTTTTCTGTCCGAGCCCGGCCCGCGTCCGACAGGGCAGTAACCGAACCCGACCCGAGCCCGACAGGCATTAAGATATTTATGTCCGAGCCCGACACAGTTAAAAATCTCTTTTTTTTTCTCATAGTAATGACACGTACGTTTGTTTGTGTAGAAAGCCCGCTTTTATTTAGCAACTGGAAGGCATTCGGAAATGTTTACAGATGTGCGCAACGCACCAGCGTGCGCCGCACACGGCCAACAAAGCGCATGTTAACACAGGCGCGCACAAGAGGCCCAAACAATATAATAATACAATAATAGCCAATTGAAATTAAATGAACAAAGCTAGTTCTACCAAAAATTGCCAAAGCTAACAGAACAAAACATTAACGTAACGCAGCTTATTGAAATGGAAATCACAATTTTTCCTCGAAAACTGTGTGGCAAATAAAACTGTAACATGGGATCTATTCACATAATCCATCCTTCAATGTTTAGGCTGGTTTTAAAATCTCCTGAGGCCAACTTCTTTTTAACGTCTTCCATCGTTGCGCTGCCAGCCACATGTAGCCAAATATGCAATATTATGCACGCACGTGTTGCGCGTTGTCACAGCAACATAAACAAATTTCTGCACACATGAAGTTGGATGTTAGGGTGATATTTTAAATTTATTTGAATCACAAAAACAAACATTTGCATCCAGTTAAACATTATAATAAGCTGTTTTAAATTTCAAATGTTCAATGCCTAAAGGCTTCATTATACTTCTGCGTCAACTCCACGGCGTAGCTACGCCGTCACTCCTACGGCGTCGTGGCCGTTTTATGGTTCTGCGTCAGGTTGCGTTGCATCGCGGTGCATTTCAACGCCAGAACGCTAGGGTGGTGTGTGCTTTGCGAATCTCTTTGCTAGTTTGTTTTGGTTCCGTGCGCCGGTTCCGCTTTCGTTTCCATTACCCTTCAAATTGCGCGAATTGAAATTGCGAATTGAAAATACGCATTTCGCAAAAACTCCCGTTTATCGCAAAAAAAGATTTTACAGTCGCATGAGGAGGTTTTTCAGGCAATTTGAAAAAGGAATATTTTGAATATTTGAATTAAATATTTGGAAACAGGTTTTGCGCATTTACAGTCACCTGCCTTAGAAGACGCGGTGTGTTTGGGGTCCGTGTCCGCAAATAATAATAATAATCATTATTATAACATTT